CGGAGCGCCCGGCGGCCCCAGCCGCGGCCCGGCCGGGCTTGGCCCGGTTTGCGGGCCCGCAGGTGCCCGCTGTGCGCCGTGCGGCCGGACCGCTGCCCCCGGCGCTGGCTCCGGGTGTGTCGCGAGGCGGCAGCTGCTGCTGCATGACATTGGCTGTATTTTGAGAATTGCTCAGATATTAACACCCGTTTTTTCTTAAATCACGTCTGTTGTACGTAATATCTGTTGTTATATTTGATATTTTTACGTTTTGCTGCTACCCTGGGTTAGCCAGGCAAGCCTGTCTCACTGCAAACCAGGAAAACCATGGGGCAGCATTACCCAACTAGTTATATTCCTGTTTTTTTTTTTTTTTTTTTGTTCTCCTTTGGACTTTGTGAGGTTAAGAGGATAAAATCTTTGTTGCAAGATTTTTCTTGAAGTCCGTATTAAACCTTTATGGAACAGATAAAAAGATCAATTCCTTCAGTCAGCGGAGGGTTTTGCTGTTTGCATTGACAAGGTGCGTGGATCCTGAGCGTTCCTGTCCTGATAGGAGAACTTGCTGGAGAGCTGCTCTTAACTCTGCTAAAATGTCAATTTTACTTGCTCGGAGCTCACTGAAATGCACACAAATGTTTATTTCCTTTCCTGTTTTTTTTTTTTTTTTTTGTTCTCCTTTGGACTTTGTGAGGTTAAGAGGATAAAATCTTTGTTGCAAGATTTTTCTTGAAGTCCGTATTAAACCTTTATGGAACAGATAAAAAGATCAATTCCTTCAGTCAGCGGAGGGTTTTGCTGTTTGCATTGACAAGGTCCCTGGACTCCTGAGCGTTCCAGGAGCACCCTTCAGCTGGGCCCTGGCAGCACAGAGTGTAACACAGATGTGCATTGCAGAATCCCAGCTCATGAAACGAGGCCAGCTTGGGCTGGAAGGCAAATGGCTGCTCTTGCAAGAGCAAGTAATCGCACAAATTCATGTTTTGGGACCACTTTGTGGTGATATTAAGAAGAGGGTGCCCAGTGCTGTACAGGTTAAGGAAGTGGAAAGATGAACTCAAGAAGTGTTGAAACGAGGCCAGCTTGGGCTGGAAGGCAAATGGCTGCTCTTGCAAGAGCAAGTAATCGCACAAATTCATGTTTTGGGACCACTTTGTGGTGATATTAAGAGGGTGCCCAATGCTGCACAGGTTACAGGAAGTGGAAAGATGAACTCAAGAAGTGCTTCCAAGGAGTTAAAATGTAACATGTTTGGGGGACAGAAAAGAGTAAAAGGTAGTGAGACATAAATATGTATTTAATGATTAACAACAGGACAGTCATGTGTCTGTTAAAAATATCTAAAATGACTGTCAGGAAGTCAGTGCACTTTCTTCTAGGCACTGTCAGCAGTTTTCAGCTAAGGTTACCTGGTTGTACTTGAAGCCAGGCAATTGTGATGTGTTAAGTATCAGACTGTTGTTAAACTTATGAGTGGGCATATTTATATAAACTCTCAGTAGTAGCTTTAGATTTATACCTTCAGTCAGCGGAGGGTTTTGCTGTTTGCATTGACAAGGTCCCTGGACTCCTGAGCGTTCCAGGAGCACCCTTCAGCTGGGCCCTGGCAGCACAGAGTGTAACACAGATGTGCATTGCAGAATCCCAGCTCATGAAACGAGGCCAGCTTGGGCTGGAAGGCAAATGGCTGCTCTTGCAAGAGCAAGTAATCGCACAAATTCATGTTTTGGGACCACTTTGTGGTGATATTAAGAGGGTGCCCAATGCTGCACAGGTTACAGGAAGTGGAAAGATGAACTCAAGAAGTGCTTCCAAGGAGTTAAAATGTAACATGTTTGGGGGACAGAAAAGAGTAAAAGGTAGTGAGACATAAATATGTATTTAATGATTAACAACAGGACAGTCATGTGTCTGTTAAAAATATCTAAAATGACTGTCAGGAAGTCAGTGCACTTTCTTCTAGGCACTGTCAGCAGTTTTCAGCTAAGGTTACCTGGTTGTACTTGAAGCCAGGCAATTGTGATGTGTTAAGTATCAGACTGTTGTTAAACTTATGAGTGGGCATATTTATATAAACTCTCAGTATTAGCTTTAGATTTATAGTCACTTTTTGAATGTGAATATTCCTTTTGTAAAAAATTTTAAGCATCATAAAATGACATTACCTTAGGGATAAGAAAAATACACTGACAAATCTTCTTTTTGATTTAATCTGCAAAAGGTTTAGGAACTAAATCAGAACTTGTTTCATAAACAAACTAGATTTGGATTATTTAAATTTCAGTAATCATGGCTAAAATAAAATTCATTAGGAAAGAAATATGGAAAAGGGTCTTTCCTGTGGAATTGACATCCAACAGTGCTGCTCTTTTTATATCATTGTTATGGCAAAGAGGAACAAACTTTGGGTTTTGTTAATAAACTAGCCAGACTTCTGTATCCTCACCAGAACTTTTTCTCATTGTTCCTGGAAAAAATTAAGTACTTGAGACATCCTCATGTCATGCTGTGAACATGTATTCTGGGACTGTTTTGTATAGGTGAAATTAGTTTCTAATTTATATTCCCTCTTTGCCTTTCCCAGGTTGAATTAGTGTTTACCTGCTGCTTCCACAAGTTTTTTTTGTGTACCTTAACTTAGGGTGAAAACTCCTCTAGCCTGTCCTGAAGTGTTTTTGCTGTGTTTTGAGGGTTGGGCAGTGTACTTTGGCAAAAGCAGTCATTTGCTCAGAAGTGTGATCTTTGACAGTAGCCACTCAGCTCATGCTTTCCTGGTGTACAGTAGATTTACAGATGAAGTTTTTGAAATATTAGAGGGAGATTTCTTTCTTACTGGCTGTTGGTGAGATCTGTCCCCAGCACATGGACACCCCCAGTCCCCTGCACTTTCTCCTGTCCTGGCCCTCCTGTGCTCTCTGCTGTCACCTCACTTTCAGCTCTTTTGGAGTTCCACCCTCCCAGGTACCTCCACTTCCATGTCTTCATGCTCCACCAGGTTTCTGTGTTTATTTAGGAAGCCTACCTGCAGATGAGTTCCTTGTTTCTTAACTGTTCATCTGCTGCCACTCTTGATTCTTGGGTGTAGTAAACGTCAGTCGTTTTCAGAACAGCCTGTTGGGATATAACACAGGGATTGTGGTTGGAAGGAAATAAACAGCTGATCTAGGTGGATTTTATGAAACAGAGATTCTGTTTTCCTGTGAATATGTAGAGAGCAAAGAAGTAAGAAAAAGACAAGATCTCTGAATGCCTGCAGTTAGGTATCAGCTGATTTTTATATCCTTTCCCTTGTTTTGTTTGTTGCTCATCATGCCTCCAGGGTAGATTGGAGACCTGATCTGAAGGTCAAGTTTGTAGCAAACCTTGACTGGCATCCCTCAATTGTATTTACTTAACCCCAGAAGTCATATTCTGTGCCAGTGTGCTCACAGTCTTCCTCCCAAACCCTGAAGCAAGTTGAAAATGGGGTTTGGCCTGTTGTGTTATTTGTTGATTATTTTAGTTTGTGATTTATATATAGTTTGTTAGCTTTTTTTCCCCTAGAGAGTTTTGTCTCAGTTTAAGTTTGAGTGACTGTTCAATTTTGAGCTCATTCTGCACTCAGAACAAGTTCCATTTGCAGTTGAATTCCTGCTTTAGGATTCAGAGTACACTCACAAGCCACGCAATATATGATTTTCAAATGTAAATTTAGCCACTGGAAGCTGTTTCATGTTTACTTCTTTGTATATGTGCAGATGTACAGAGCCCAGCAGCACTTCTTACAGACCAGTTCTGTTAAACTGGGATATTCCAGGGACAAGAGCAAATGTTTGAGAAGGCTTTTATTATTTTTACTGTTGTGTTTTGCTATGGTTTTGACATTTTAAATTGGTTATATCCTAACAGGTCACTGGGCCCCATCAGCCAATGAACAAATACTTAGGAGAGGATCCCCAGCAGAGATTAAGGAATGACCCTGTTCTAGGAAAGGAGATTCAGTGCCTGTTGCATTATGTCATTTTAATCTTTCTTCTGTCTCAGCCATCTTTATTCCATATCATTACTGATATTTCTCTGGATTTCTTTGTCATCCTTCTTCATAACGTTTTATTTATTTGTTGTACTTACTAAAACTGAGGGGTTTTCAGTAAGTTTTTGTGGAGATACGGATTTTATCTTTTTGACAAGTCTTTAGATTCATTGTGTTAATATACAGAATTTAATTTGGAAAAAGGAACCTTTTTCCCACATTGGTATTAGGGACTCAGAATTTATTTATTTGCCTCTTGTACACTTCCTTTCCTTGTGTTATATGCCAATGTTTCTTGTGACCATTCTCTAAAGGGATGCAGTATTTTTTACAGTGTGTTGAACTCCTTAGTTTTAAGGAGGTTTTCTCAATTTTTATATTAATATATATAGGTCCAAGTTGATAAGTTTTCACTTGAACTACTGAGCAAGACAGGCTGAAGATTCTGGTTGTAAGGATGTGTGAAAAATCCAAGAGTCTTTGGCATACAGTTTGTGGGTTGGCAGCATTTCCATCTGCCTTGCTCTAACACAGATTTTAATTTTGTGCAATGAACTGAGTGTAAATGGAGCCGTGGTGTGAAATGCTCAGAGTCAGCACTCCTGAAAGCAGCGTATGTTGAAGTGCAGCATCTGTGGCTACAAATCTGCCCTTCTGGGACACGGTGCAAAATGATGTAACGGAGTGAAAAAGCTCTGCAGAGATAGATTTCACCTGCTGTAACTGAGTCTTTGCTGCAATAATTCACGAGGCCAGGGTGATGCTTTCCTGACTGTGCAGTGGGATTGTATTGTAGGAAAAAAGCTGTTGGCAATAACAGCTGGACATCCTGAGGCTTTAGTTTGCTGCCCTGCACCTGAGCTGCAGCTCTGCTACAAAGAGGCTACACTAAGGAAAGCCTGTAGTGCTTGGGGGTAAGTTGGAAAAGAAATTACCTTCTGAAAAATTCAGCTTGCCCTTTGAAAATGTTTGTACACTTGCAAAAAGTTCAGATAATCTGAATCACCTGGTTGTTTCTCACAGCTTTATCTAAGTATTCCTGTTCCTGCAGCTTCAACGTGATGTTAGAGGTTCATGAAAAGAATGGTGAAATATTTTAAACATTTTAATTTTAATGAACTAATTTCTGTAGCTACTGAAACTCTCTTAGTTCTTGGATTGCAAATCTTGTACTGGTAAAAGTGTTTCTAGAAGTGCAGATGCCTTGTGCTGAGTCTCAAATTTTTAGGTACTGTGGAATGTACATATCAAGGAGTTACATTGTAGAGGTTGTTGCTACTGAAATAAAATAAATGCTGTTCTTTGGTAAATATGATTATGTTAATGAGAGGCAAAAGCATGGAAGTAAAATTCGAGCACATTAAGGTAAAATTTTTAGTACTTCTGCATTGCTACCTTACTACTAGATTAGAAATGTTTAATACTTTGAAAGTACTAGGAATGTTTGATTATCAACACTGCTGTGATAGCAGCTATGTACTGCTCAGGAGAGAATTCAAGTTCTAAGCCACCTTTGCTTGCCATTTTTGTCATTAATATTCCAAACTAATCAACATTGAACTTAAAACTCTGCATTGTCAGTCTGTTCAAACTGTGAATTACTTCATGATTAAATTCTGCTCCTGACTGCGCTCTGTTATAAGTTGTGTTGAATTTTGGAAGAGCATGTATGACTAGGTGAGCTCATTCTCCTTACAGCAAATGGCATTTATGAGAAAATACAGAGGGGTTGTTTTGGCTGTGGATGCTTATCAGTAGCAGTAAAATACAGGTCACACATCAGCCAGGTCATACTAAGGGACTGTAAAGTAGCTTAGTCTCTAAAAAAAGATCCCCTTTGGCTACGTTAAACTAAAACCAACAACAACAGGATTCAAGAGCTTCTTAGATAAATCACTACCAGTTTGGAATGGGGCCAGAATGCCATGTTCATAATGCCAATAATTGTTTAGGTTTGTTTGGTTTTTTCCCTTTTTCACAGCTAGGAGTCCAAGAGGAAAATTGTCTTGACCTTGTTTGGGCAGTCCTTGAGGATGGCAAGCAAAGGACCCACAACTTCTGCATCAACAAAGAGCTCCAGTACTGGAGGGACCAGTGGCAGCAGCAGCAGTAATGGCTCTGGGGACACCACTAATCAGGACAACACTTTTGAATGCAACATCTGTTTAGACACTGCCAAGGATGCAGTTATCAGCTTGTGTGGGCACCTCTTTTGGTGAGTGCTGCAGCCCCACACACCAGCCAGAACACCATCTACCTGATGCCATAAAAACCTGGGATGTCTGTAATTCTGGAGGAGGGACTGTGGGTTTGGTTTAGGAGAGCTTGGGTTTGCTCCTCAGCTGTTTTTCTTTGCTTGTATTCCAGGGAGTGGGTTTCCTGTGTCCTAAACTCCCTGTGCTGCTGGATTATTGTGTAAAGGCAAACAAGCAAGCAGCCCCACACAGACAGTTCAGTGCTCATTGATACTGTTTGCTTATGTGTGTTATTTTATTTGTGCTGTCTGGCCTAGCACAGCTATGTTCTTTAGACCTAAATTCCTTTCTGACCTCTGCATACCTAAACCTGGATATGAATCTGGGTTCTGCAGGCCAAATTGTAGTTTCTCCTCCAAGCTTCCTCTTTTCTTCCTTTGTAACCATAAAAGAGAAAAAAAAAATAGGCAATAAGCTTTTACATATGGACAATTTCTCTTTTCCCATAATATTTCATTTGTGTTAGAAACTTTTTAGTTCTTTAACTTGATTTGGAAATAATGTACAGCACAGGTATATGTGCACAATTTCTGATGTGGGTAACTTGGTTTGAATATACCCTTTCTTGAATGTGAAGAATTTAAGGCTTGACATGGCCAGTGGGGGGGTAGGGTGGAGTTTATTTTACACAGTGGGCTAAATCTTTAACAAAAAAAGCCTGAAAATGTTTTTCTCCTGTGTAAATATACATAACATCTGAAAATATGGGATTTTATTTGGGGAGATGGAAAATCACTGGCTTAGAGTGTGTTAAGATAAAATAACATTAAATTATTGCACAAAAGGATTTGGAATAATGGAACCTTAAAAGTACCAGGTGTCTTGTCTGAATGGTGTTATGTGAGACCATTTTGAAAGCAGATGGCTGTTTAGCAGTTTTATCTTGTAGCTTGTTTGTCTTTGACCTTTTTTTAATTTGCCATAGCAATTTAATCTGTTTAATGGGAATTTCTCTGCCCTGAGCAACTGAGTCTGATCTCAATAGCTGACCCTGCTCTGAGCATCAGGTTGGACTAGAGGCTACCTGAGGAACATCCAGCCTTAGTTATTCCATGATTCTGTGAATGTGGCTGATGTTTCACCTTAATTTGTAAGATTCTAAAGTCTCGTTACTGACATCTTGGTCATTTGCATCTTGGCTCTGGGATAGCTTTTCATGGTAACAGAAGAGAAAATTTGTACAATAAACCCTAAGATTAATGCAGCCTCTGTCTGGGCCTTTGGTCTGGATGAGGACCCAGGAGTGGGAGATGCACAGAACCACATTAGGAATTTAGATTGTGTAACCTGAAAAAAAAACCAGTGGAGATCAGTCATGGGCTGTGTTTGCAGAAATGATTTTAATGGGAGGCTGCAGAACTGGCCCAGCTGGATTCCAGGATTCTGTTGTCACCAAGCTGCACTATCCCTGTACTCTGTACATTTGTCATATAGAGTTCAGTAACTAATTCCATTTTCCTCTCTTTTTCTGCTCTGTGAACAAATTGTCCTGCGAATGCTCACAGCTGGCCTTGTTTACACCAGGTAAGACAGGTTTTCTTTTACTTTGTCTTTCATCACCTCCAGTTGCTCAATAAAGCCCTTGGTTCTCTGGAGTATCCCCTTCTTTTCAAATGTGCTTTTCTCTCCAGGGCAGTCACAACCTGCTCATGCAGCTTAATGTGCAACAGCTTACAATCTGCTCTTGGAGCAACAAGAAAACTTAGATTCTGTTCCACTTACCTCCACTTCTGAGTTTCTGAAACCCTGCATAATTGCAGTTTTGCTGCAATTACTGGAGCTTGCAGGGTTTAGTTTGCAGGTTTAAGTGCTGAGTGTATTTCTCTTTGCATACATAGTGTTTTACATTGTGGTACCATTAGAGAGAAGGTGGATGACAGGAGGGCTATCTGCACTAGCCCCTGGCCTTTGCAGGACTGCTCATAGTCTCTATTTCTTATGTTAGAAGTGCAGATCTGAATGTGTACACATCAGCAAGTTGTTCCCACCAGGACAGCAGCCAAAGTGCCAACTCCACTTTGGGGAGTACTTGGCACTCACTCAAATGTTTTGCTCCAGAACTTTGTGAGAAATTCCTAAAGTCTTTCTGCCTGGCTGCAAATGAGGTTTGCATAGTTATTTTTGTGGTCTTTTAGCAGTTTTCTTATAATTTCCTTTCTTTTAGTGGCTGGAGACGAGGCCAAACAGACAAGTGTGTCCTGTATGCAAAGCAGGAATCAGTCGAGATAAAGTTATTCCTCTGTATGGAAGAGGTAGCACTGGGCAGCAGGACCCCAGGTAAGAAACCTAAATGCAACTGTTTTCATTTGAAAATTAAAGATGAAACTTCAGTTTAGGGTCCTAAGATTAAGCTGTTAAAATGCTGGATTCACAATTTTAAATACTTTGTCAAAAGACATCTGATATTTCTGCCAAATATTTCTGGCTTTTTCAGAGCCTGGGTTTGCACACATTTAAATACTTTGTCAAAAGACATCTGATATTTCTGGCTTTTTCAGAGACTGGGTTTGCACAGTTCTTGTTCTACTGGCAATCCATTTTAATTTGAATCAAGTGTTAATCAGTTACAAGTGGCAAGTTGCAATGATCTGACCAAAGAAGCTTCTATTAAATGTTCATGTGCTCAGTTTTTAGCCTTTGCAATGGGTATTTGTTATTCAGAAGTGCAGTGTTACATGCTGCTGGAGGTCCAAAGCTGCATGGTTGCCTCTCTCACACACTGCTCCAGCCCTGCTGGATGGCCCCAGGAGGCTGTGCTTTATGGTGATTCTGCATTATTAGCCAGTCACTGCAGATCCTACTGTCACATGCCCTTGCACTTGAGCTAATTTCACAACTTCCTGCAGAGAGAAAACTCCACCACGACCCCAAGGACAGAGACCTGAACCAGAGAACAGAGGGGTAAGTGATCAAACAAGCTTGAGCAGTTTAGTTTTTATTGCTAGTGATATTGATGGTATTGATTTATTCATCCTGGAGGACACAATGTGTGTGAGAGAACCTGCATGAGGATCCTGCAGCTTACCCATCCTGCTCTTCCCCAGCTGGTTGTTCATGAATCATTGATAGCTGTGGTGTGGCACAGAGCTCCATTGCTGTGGCACCCTTTGGCATCCCAGAGAACAGCCCAGCTTGGATCATGCTGCATGAACACAGCTCAGTGTGCTATCACTGGAAAAGCTTTTCATACTTGATTGTTCTCCACGTTTAAATACAAGGAGCACTTTGCTTTGAAAATTCTTTGTGCAAGTGTATTTCTATACGTGTCATTAATTAATCCACTTATTAATTTAGATTTTTGACACTGACACCTGCTTCTCTCGTTTCCATGGGATGTTACTGTACATGGCATTACAAGCAAGAGAAAGTCAGTATCTGTAGGATACGTGATTTGAAGAGGGATCTGTGGTTTTGTTGAGGAGATGACATGGGGTGGATGTAGCCAGCAGCTGGCACAGATGAAGCAGACGTGGGAGTGGGCAGTAGGACAGACCCCAGTGTTCTTCAGCACGATGGCAGCAAGCATGACCTGATGAAACAATGGCACATTTCCATGTAACTCTGCCTGGGGTCCTTGGAGAGGATTGTCTCCCTCGTGCTTCAAGCAAACAGCTCTGCAGGGTGTGATTAAGGTGCATTTCTGTACTGAATGTATTGGGAGCTCAGCTGTTCTCTTTCTCTAGAGCATTGCTGCCTTATTAAATCAGCTCCTGTAGCTTACGTGAGCCATCACAGGGATGGGATGTGAAGGCAGGGCAGTAGTGCTGCTGTTCTCTTCAGATTCTGTACCTGCCACAGAGAGCTTTGCTGGCCCTCAGAGTTAGTGGCAGAATGCTTGAGAAGAGTATGGTCAAAAAACCAACTCCTCAAAGCAAGGCTCAACCAAGAAACATTTGGCTTTTATTATATAAGTAAAATCATCTTTGTCCTTCCGTTGTTGGTGGTGATAAAGCAGAGGGTCTTTCAGAACTGGTATCACTGTTTTAATCCTGAGGTGAGAGGACAGATAGCTGGATTACAGAACTGTGGGCTCTCCACGGTGTTTAGGCATGACACAAGCCCCTAGATTCACACACAGCTCTCAAACAGCACACTGCTTCTGCAGGGCAGGATTCATCTCAATTCAGAACACTTACCTTTTGACTGGATGTGGTATTTTAGTCTGGATCCCATGGGGTCAGTGTTACTGCTTTGTAACTTCCTTTTTTCCTCCTTTCCTTATATCTTGCATTCCTGCCCTAGGTGATTTTGCCACCTTAAGTCCCCATGTAAATTTTTTTGTGGTTTTCCTTGAAATGCTCTATGCATCCCACTGGCAATTATTAATTTCACTGAGTGTTTAACTGATACACGTGTATGACAAAAATCAATTTAGGTTATTTTCTTCAGTACTTTTCTTTTATGGCTAACAGCTGTTAACAGATGATACATTGTTAAGACATTCTAAGTACAATTTGTTCTGTTGATTTTGATACATTGGCAGATACTTTCTACTTTGAGAAAGGTTACAGTTGAGAAACACTGTCCTAATTTGTGGCCCTCAAGCAAGAACTGCAGTTGCTAGTTTTCATTTTCTCAAGCCTTTGGGTTGCTTGGCGAATTTGCTGCTGGCTGAAACATTTTAAACCCAGGAGAGCTAAGGGGATATCTACAAAAGTGTGTCAGACTGAAAGTTGCCAGACAGCGTGGCCCTATTCAGCCGTGGGGAAGCCAGTGAGAGGGAATGTCTGCACTTCCACAAAGTACTCTGAAATAGGCTCGAAGTGATTGGTACCTTTTTTTGTCTTCTGTGCTTTGTTCTCTGCAGGGATTCCAGGGCTTTGGGTTTGGTGATGGTGGCTTCCAGATGTCCTTTGGAATTGGGGCGTTTCCCTTTGGTATATTTGCCACAGCCTTCAACATAAACGATGGGCGACCTCCTCCAGGTACCGTGGATCCTCCTCCTGCCCTATCACAGACATTTACAAACTCTGAAATAACCTGCCAGATGGCAGAACATTCTGAACAGTAACCTGTGTTGTCAGTAGAACCACAAAATGAGGGCAAAAACACTCTAGAGAACGTGGTCTGTGGCTGTTTTGTACACAGACTTATAAAAGAAGCAAGTTTCTCACTTCCACATTATTTGCTGAAGGCCCTCCTGGGAGACCAGTGACTGCAGAGAAACAGTGGCACTGGACACTACTCTCCTCTAATTCAGATGTCTCCTCTGGTACACCAGCAGACTTTTCCTGAAAAATGAGACAAATTGGACTAGACTTTCTAAAAATAATGAAAAGGAGTCTCTAGGGGTGTATGAAGGAGACACAGATTTTAAAAACAGCAGGAAAGGAACATTTCCTGAATGATGAGAAGGAAGAATTTAAACTGTGCTCTGTACCACAAAATTATGAATGCAAAGATCGTTAATTTTTCAGAAATTTATCTCTGAGACACTCATCTGTATTCTACAAGAAGTAACTTTCCACTGAAATTGCTTCACATTTTTGATTAACAGAAACAGTTGGGTTTCTCCAAGGGGTGACCTTGCTCTCTAACAATGAAGTAATCCCTAGAGAACCTCCTCCCCATCTTCACTGTGGACAAACTGAATCTCTTTTGAACAAGAACACCTACTGCCCAGGGTTTTCTGAACTTATTTTGTGAAAGGTTATGCCTGGCAAATCTTCCACCGTGTCATATGGCACAGGAATTATGAGGAACAAACTCATTCTCACATCACACTAGCATTGTCATGGTCCTCTGCTGTCCTTGGGTCAAATTAACTATAGTTCAGTGTCCCCTGAAAATCTGCTGGGGGTGGGACTGAACTAAGGAGTCCTGCTTCAAGTTACTTTTCTTCCTTCTGATCTCCCCATGCAGCCAGCCAGGCTGAGGGTAGGAAGTAGCAACTTTCTCCCCAAGCAGATTCTATGCATATTTTTCAATGTATGAATGTACTATATTCAGAATATACACAATCCCAGAGAAGAGGAAGGAGCTGAACTGTTGTTTGTTTTTTTACTTCCTGTTTTCCAGCTGTTCCAGGGACTCCTCAATATGTGGATGAGCAGTTCCTTTCCCGCCTCTTCCTGTTTGTGGCACTGGTGATAATGTTCTGGCTGTTGATTGCATAAGTCTTTTCCATTATTCTATATATTCATGACCAACAAGGCCACTGAAACAGTTACAAACTGCATCCCCATCCCATTTTAAACCTCTTGGTGTCTGGTTCCGTAGCTACCTATGGCCTTCAGGAATTGGTGGTACCACAGCACAATGAGGAATCTCACATTTTGCACCAGAGTTGGTAATTAAAACATTGGTTTAAAAGTGTATTTCAGCTCAGATATCTTGTACAACAGGTTCCTGCCACAAACCATGGGCCTAGCATTGAGCTGCACTCCGAAAGGAGTGCTGCTTTGAAATCCTGTGCCAATCAGTGACACCAGGTCTGTGGGATACAGTTATCCCAACACAGACTGGGCAGGTAAGGAAACTCTCCAGTGTGACCAGTATCTCCTGCTTTGCAACCATGATGGATCTGCCAGAGCTGCAGATGTTATTTAATGTCTCCATCAACATCTGACCTTCTCCAGGAAATCACCTGCAGCATGCTGAGACTCTCTGGGGCACAGCACGTGGTGCAAACAGCACCAGGTCTGGAGACCGGTTCCGGTTTTTTTTCCGTCTGTTATTTCCCCTTCCTGATGGTCCTGATGGCTGTTAGAAGAAGGGATACAAACTTATGCTGCAATTTTTTAAAGCCTGAGCATGCTGGAGCCAGACACTGGAAGATTCTGTGGCTGTGGAGCCAGGTGGGGCGGCCGGCCCGGCCAGCTCCTCACTGACAAGCAGTGTTGTCTTCCCCGGCCCTGCAGCGCCTGTGCCGCACTCCTGGATAATCCCCTCACACCTCGCCACTGTAGCCACATTGATCTTTCCCAGGGCTCTGAGACTTTCTACACAAGCTCATGTACTCCAGATAAAATCCTATTACAGGCCTGAGATCAGCTTGTTTGGGGAGAGGAACAAAAGGCATCTTTATGTGAGTTTTGAGGTAAAACTTGTCATACTGTAAAGGTACACAGGAGGAGACCTGAGATCCTGCCTTTGCCAGCACGCACTCAGTAGGGAACATTTGGAACACCTCTCTGCAGGTGCACACAGACCTTCTCCCGTGCCACAGCAGAGCAGCTACAGCACAAGAGTCTCTGCAGCTAAAATCTACCAAAGATTTTAATTTGAAGTGCTGGAGGAGACCACAACCATTAATGTGCTGAGGGGATATTTCAGAAGGTGAGCAATCTGCAGCCGCTTTGGAATCCTGTTGGGTATTCAGCTTTAAAGAGTACTCCTGATGTATTTGTGTAGATTCCTTCAAAACAGGTATGAGAGATTCCCTAGCAAGATGAACAGTTCATATTTCTCTGACTAGGCAATTCCATTTTTTTTCCTCTGTTTTTAGATTTATTTTTTTTTTATTCCGGTTGCTCATAGTCATAATGATTTCCTGCAAGATGAATGTTGTGACTTCCCTGGCAGTAGACAGAAAAACTGAAAAGCAAATCAATTAATAGAAACTTTGTTTCAATAGCTTGGGATTTTTTAGCATATGGCAGAGTTTCCTGGGCAGAACACCTTTAATTAATTGTTATAGAAGTTTATTTATGTAATTATAAACTGTTTCCTTTTAGTGTCAAGACAGAGTATGACTGAAGTTTAACTTGCCTACCTCCAAAATTCCATCTGGCAAGTAGAATGTTGCAAAGCTTCTGCAGTGTTTTTTGTCATGTCAGATTTATCCCTGACTCGATGATAATCTGACAGAATATATTGCTCAACTATTTATAGTTGAGGTGGTGCTTCAGCTTTTGTTGTGTGGCACTTCTGAGTAGCTGAACTTCGGCACAGGGTTCTTCTCAAGTGTGTAACTTGGTAACTGGGGCCCTTCCCAGGGGGACAGGCTGTTTGTTTGGTTGTCCTGCAGTGTCCTGGCTTTGGGTTCCTCTCCTGCCAGTCAGCACCACCTGCTGATGGGAAGGGAAGGTTCATGTGTCAGTGAGGGGTGGATTCCTTCTCCTTTTGTACAGAGAAATTCGATGCTGAGAGGTTATGCAGGGAGAAGAAGGGTAGCCCTTTGAAGCCTTTATCCCATAAAGAGGACAGAGAGTGACTGCAATAGATTCAAGAGGTACTGAAATATATTTAAGTAATACATTTTAAACCCCAGAATTTTAATGGATCGGGGGCGGGGATTTCCATCTAGGAGTGAGAAAAATAATGGATTTAGAGAAGGCTGCAGAAGCATGACTGAGAGCTCTTATTTTCCGGCAATTCAAGGATGAAATAGTCTAAAAGTGTTAACGCTTCGTTTCCCCTTTCCCTGGTGTGCTTTTGTATGTAACCCGACCGCACACGGCCCGGACGGCTCGGCTAGTGCGTTACCGTTCCTCCTCACTAATTTTCACTGTTGTGAAAGTGATTTAGAATTAAAAAATGGTTTTACATTGAGCGGAGTGCGCCGCCGTTCCTTCGCGCTGCCGGGGGGCCGGGGGCGGGCGCGGCGCCCGGCGGGTCTCGCTGCCCCGGTGCGATGCGCTCCGCGGGACGGCCGCGGCAGATGCGGCGCGTCCCGGCACCGGGTGCTGCGGCGCAGGTGCCCGCGGGCCCTGCCGGTGGCACTCACCGCGTCCCTGCTGTCCGCTCGAGGTCCCCCGGGGCCCCCGAGGCTCGGCCGGGGCCACGGCGGCTGCTCCTCGCTGGCCGCCCTGACACACTCCCGTCCCGGGGAGCTGGACAGACCTGCTGCATGGATTATGTCCCTTTGCGTTTCCTTCGCGCTGTTTCCTGCTCTGTTTTGTTCATTTCCGTCGTTTCTCCTGCATACTGAAGCAATTTCTGTTGGATTGAGGACTGTTCGTTTCCCTTTGTGAGCTAATCAGCCTGGCTGGGTACACTTAAACAGATGTAGCAGTGCAGCTGAGAGGAGGTGCAGTTTCTTCTTCACAGAGTTCCGAAGCTGATGGTTCACATTCTGTAAGATGGTCAGGGAGTAACTTGTTGCTTGTAGTCAGCTGTGGTGTAGTCATGATCTTTTAATGTCTTTCATAGGATCCACAGACAGTTTTGACACGTGTGTGTTGTGCTGGTGACACTGAATGGGAGGGGATGGAGCTGCAGAGTGTTTGGTGTGCAGGTAGTTTTGGCCTGCAGCTATTTCAGAAGTTCAGCTGACTTGCAGGGCTTGCCTGCTTGGAGAGGAGCGTTGGCTGCCTGTGCAGGGAGGCACATGGAGCTTTGCCTTTTATTCCCAAGCCCGTTTGGTGTGCTGAAAAGCCATTTCCTTTACAGGACAACACAGATAGAGTCAGGTTTTTCCAAGATTCTCCCAACCTTTTCCCTGCTGTGCAGGTCTGAGCTCAGGTGGAGTTCTTGGTGTTCTGGATTAGCAGAAGGGCACAGGGGCAGGTGATCCAGGTGTGGGGCTGTGCACACTTGGGAACTGAAGTAGCAACCTACACCACTTGTCACATTTGAAGGAACCCTTACAGCTTTATGGCGACCTTCCTGGGTACTGCTGGTGATAGTGGTGCTTGTAGCTGAACAGCAAATTTTTTTTCCCTGAAATAGCTAATTCATGCAAAAAGTGCAAGATCTTCACCTTGGTTAATTTTAAACATTGTTGTTGACCTACACGGTGGGGTAAAGGTGCATGGAAGGTTGATGGCTTCTGTTTTGTGTAGCTTCAAGGAACTTAACAGTGGTATGAACTTGCCTAAGCAACTGCCAAGTTGTACCATTCTTTGGAAAAGGGAAGTCCGTGGTTTGTGGTTTTCCTTGTCTAAGTGCACCTTTTTCTTAAATGCAGCCTTGCTGCAAGCAAACTCTTGGTAGTGGGAAGAAACAGGTTTGGGATCTGCTCAGCTCTGTGACACATTTCTTGTGCCATCCTGTGCTGAACTAAGATTCTTGACTCTTTCATATGCCTGCACTGCCCTTGGGATTTGGGATAGCATTTATCTGTGTGCCAAATGTTCTTTGTGCACAAGCTTTCATTCTGTTTTCCTAGCTTGCTTGCATCTAAGTAACCAGCTCTCTCTGGGGCTTTCTGGCAGTTCTAGCAAAAACTATTCTAGCTCTATTATAACTGTTATAAGTGTCTTCTGAAAGGGCAGCAGGCCAGCATCACTCCCCCTTCCTAAGTCTGACGGTAGCTTGGTGTTGGCTGTACAGTCTCTATGGGAATATTCATTCAAGAGTGTAATTCCTTCCTGGTAGTCTAGTTGTTCTCTGCTGAATGAAGTTTGCCTTTCCTTTCTTTCAGTTCTGGGAAATCCAGTTAATTATACAAATGAGAGCAAACGTTGTGTGCTGAGTCAGTGGTGTGGGGGAAGCAGTAATGTGGCTTCCTGGCCTAGAATGGTTCTCTCTTGGAATTGTTGTACTAGACCAGTGTTGCCTTCCCGAAATCTGTGCTCTGACAGAGCTGTAACTGAACTGTTTTATGTGAAAAGTCGTATTTTTTTTTCTTCTGCAGAATGTAAAGAAGCAGATGTCACATCTGGAGAAAAAAAATATACAAGATATCAGAGTTTTATGTGGGAGTTCCCACTTTGGGGTTATAGACTGCCTCCAGCTTTCCATGTGGGAAGGCTTTCCTGTCAGTTACTTAAGGTTGTTCTTTATGAAGGATGTACCAATCTCTGTTTTCTCTGGTGTAAACTGGTTTCTGTTTGTGCCCTTATTGCTGCGTGCAGGTGAAGAAGTGTGGAGATGTCTGGGATGTGGGGACAGCATTGCTGCTGGGCAGCGCCTCCACAAGACTGTCAATGAAGCTTGGCACATCTCCTGTTTCAGGTAGGTGAAGCTGCAGCCTTTAAACCCTGCTTGTGTTGTTCCACTGGTCAGGAGCTGGTGGTGAGGTAGCAGCACGAGCTGGGCATCCCTGCAGTGATCTCTGCCTGGCCTGTTCTGAGCTCTTTGGGGCCCTATCTCAGGGGTGACATGCAGTCCCAAGAGCAGCTGACACGGCCTGGCAGCGCGGCCGTGCTGACGCAAACGGGCACAGATAAGGGGCAAATAACAGCTCTGATTTTATTTGCAGCTCTGATTTTATTTGGTGGTGGCAGAAGCCATGGGTTACATGTTTGTCTTCTGCAGCATTCCATAGTGCCCAGGCAATTGGCACAGCCTGCTGCTTTTTCCATGTGGTAGGTGCAAGGGTGTTATCAGGGTGCTGATAGAGAGAGATCTTGCCTTTTGCTTTCTCTCCTTTCCAGACTCTTAAGACAGACAAACGTATGAAATCTGTTAGATAATGTTGCTGTCAGCAAGGACAAAAAGGGATGTCTGCCATGGTGGTAGGAGTAATGCCTCTTTTTAGTGTTCCATGAAAGTTCAGTCCAGTTTTCATGCTCCAGAATCACATTTCTGTATTTTTGAGAGGGGTTCAGTACCTGCAGCTTCTACTGGCTTCTATGTTGGCTTGAATATGGGGAGGCTAATGTTTTGGATACTGTTAAAGAAAGTGGGGGAAAAGGAAGCCAAAGTGTGGCTTTGGAGGAATGTTTTCTGTGCCAAAATAAGCATCTATTGTCCTCGTTTAAAGAACAGAAGGAGAAAAAAAACCCAACAAAATACCCCAACTTTCTTGAAGTGAGGATTGTGGTTATTGGTATATTTTTAAAAAATAAAGCATCTCATGCTGCCAAAGCAGTGCAGGCTCAGTTGACTCGGAAAATGCTGTTTTAGTGACACGTTAATAATCACAATTACATTTTGATTTCATTACAAATCCTGATATTTTTGATTTCTGTTGGTTTTAGTGTTCATGTTTAGCCATAATGAAGCAGCTTTTCTTAATCCTGGTTTTCTCTTTTCCCTGAAGGAAAGCTCCTGCTGAGCTTCCCTAGATTGTGCCAGTAGCCAAACCCCAAGCTGTGTGTGCTGGGAAGTCTGTCCCTCTTGCCATTGAATGTATTTCTCTTGTGAGTCTTGATTTGCAAATATCTTGGTGCTTCTTGCTGTTGGGGCTGTTGAGGTGAGGAGCAGCTGAGCTGGAGGCAAATCCTGCCTTTGGGACACTTCACAGAGGATTTGTTTTCATAGGTTATATTGCATAATGGAGGTTTGGTTGTTGCTTCTGGTTTGTTTTACACAAGTGATGACAGCAGCCTTTCTCTGAGCTGTGTAGGCACTTTTTGCATTTGTTGGTGCACTCCTTGTGCTCTGTGCCTTTGAGCTCGAGCACCCAGCGAGGCTGCTGTGCTCAGTGAGCAGTTGGAAACTGCAGCAAAGGAAGCTGCCCTCCCCTTTTTCCCAGTTCCAGGGGAGGACTGTACATGAAAACAAGTTTCCCGTTTGCACTGTGCTCCTCCTTTTCTTCTGCTGTCCCTAAGCCATGCTGAGCAGCAGTCTTGTGCCTGATATCCCAAAGCCAAACTCGAAAAAGCCTCTAAGGGCAGGAGCTTTGGCAGTTGGTAGCTGTGAGTTCCGGCAGCTCTTGTGGAGTGTTTTTTACAGTCTTCCTGTGGATTAGCTGACTCCCTGGCCTGGCACAGAATTTCTCTAATGCTGCTTGGCACTGCTCCAGGCTCGTTAGCTCTGTTTATTCTTGGTCAGGCTTGGCGCTGGCAGGAGCTGACGTACATGAGCGTCTCTGAGGATTTCAGTTTTTGTCACTTCCCTCCTTCCTCAAACTGCATGTACAGGAGCTTTTGTCTCTGAAACCTGCATTTTCTCTGCTGTGGCTTGAGGGAAGAGCAAATCCCTGTTTGTAGATCTTGGATATTTTCGACTGTTCTTTGGCCAGCTGGTTCCTTAGGCTTGAATCTGATGGGTTGGATCTGGCTGAGGAAGTTTCTTAGATGTTTCTGTCACAGTGTCTGTTGTGAATTAACTCTGAATGTGCTTTTGTGCCTCTGAGTTCTGTTGAGACAGCACACACTTTCAAAGGTCACTGCTTTTCACAGTTTGACTGGATTTGGAAATTGCATTGCACAGAACTTCAAACATTACACCAAGAAAGGGAAAGACAGAGTGAAAATGTGCCTTTTTCCTAGGTCTGGATCATTTTTACCTCAGGGGATTATTGGAAGAGCTTTTGTTGACCAAGAGCTTGCTGCTTTTATTGTTTTCAGTCCAACTTTTTCCCATATTGCAAAAGAGAAGGTAAATCCTTGAATTATACTTTTGAATAAAGTGTTATTACCAGTGTTTATTTTTGGTGGTTTGTGTTGTTTTTCTGTAGTTAATGACTAATGAAATTAAAGACAATCCCCACTTTCTGTAGGGATATTGTGTATTTGAATTGGAGTAGGATGGAATGAGAAGACCCAGACACAGCTGTATGGCTTTATCCTAAGGACGTGGTATTTGTTAAAAATCCAGTTTTGATTATTTGAAAACCACAAATTCAGATCAAGCCTGTAAACTACATCCAGGTGGAAAATAGATGCATAAGAAGAAAATAATTGGAAATGCTGGCAGGAATTTCTACTGTAGCAGGGTGTTTAAGCACTTTTTAGGAAGGAAGACAGCTGAGGCTCAGTTCCTTCCTAACCATGAAATAACAGAGCATGTCTATTACTGTGGTCTATAAAATAAACCTAATTTAAGTAGCCAAGCAACACTGGCTTGCTGCAGAAATCTCTACTAAAAGCCAAAGCCAGAAAAAATGTTCACAGTATATCTTCAAAAGTAGCAGAAGGGGATGGATTACTGGTGATTTTACAGTCACAGATTTAAAATATACTGTTTAGTTTATACCCAAACCAGTTAATTAAAAGCTGAAAAATCATCAGGAGTTTGAAGAGCAGTGGATTAGCTTTCCATGGATCAAGGGGTGCCCTAAGCTCCTGCCTACTGAACAGAAAGAGAAACACTATTAATTTCCCAGCTCTAGTGATTTGATTGTCTTTCAAAATGTGATTTTTCTGTACTGAATGCCATATTTTGTGTGCTACAGAAATATTTTTTTCTCAGCAAAAACTTAGTAAATCACTTTGAATCTCTTTACATTTGGGGACAGGGGAAAGCAAGCTAGGCAAACTTGTATGAAGACTGTATATAATTAAACCTGGTCTGAGGATTCAGGATAAACTAGATGATCTCTGAGGGTATTTTTATAAATCTGTTTTCTGTTTTTAGTATATCTACAGCAACTTATATTTGAAGTAAGCAATTTTTATGGCTTAGGGATGATTAAGAAATTGGTCATCTAACAATCTCCAGGGCCTGTAGGATTTTGGTGTCCCAGATTGTCTACTAGCACTTCAGTATCCTCGGGGTTAGAACCTTCTGTCTACTATCTTCAGAAATCCCGTGTTGCAATTTAAATCCATTTCTTCTAGCCATGTTCATGAAAAACAAGCTTTTCCCCCTGCTTCTGTTACCCACGTAGCTTTTCCCTGTCAGAAAGCAGATCAGTCCCTCGTACAAGACAGAAGCCCTGGACTCGGCAGATTTAGCTTTTTCTCCAGACTCTATTTTCTAGACTTGAGATCACTTCTGTCGGTTCAATCTCTTTGGCACAGACCTTCATTTTCCAAAAGCAGCTCCCTCCCCAGAGGACAAATGGTTGAACAGGAATTGTAGCACAAATGTGGACAAATGAAGATGTAAGCAAGATGTGTATTAGGAGGAATTTAAATTGTGGGATGTTTGGTGCTTTGAATTTGTCTTTAGCTTTTCACTTGTGAGCACGAGGCAGGTTTATCCACAGGGCAGCTGAGTTTGAGAGCAGTGGAAAGAGCAGTAGTAATAAAAGGCAGCTGAATTAAGGTAGGAGCAGGAAGATACAAATCTCCTCTTCCCTTTCTTCAGTTTCTGGCAGTTACAGAAAGTTAATGATAGGGGCCTCAGAGGTGAGAACTGTTCACTAATCCTGCAGATTGCTGGCAAGGTTCCTTTGGTGGTATCTTCTTCAGCATTGATATTCAGGAGCTCTATCAGATTCAGAGAGAAATAGTTGCCTATTGGCACACAGATCGCTATGACCATTCCAGAGTTTACACATTCAAAGGAACAATGGAGCACTTTGCAGGTGGCCGAATTCCTCAGGGGAATCTATCAGATACAGGGCATCAATGACCAGCCTTTGTATTTAAGGAGGAATGAGGCATTTCAACCCAAACTTTCTTTTGGTTGAATTGGCAGCTTGTCCTTTAGGGCAGTGATATCAAGCATTATTATATCAAGGTAATTAGAATTACTCACACAGCACAGAATGTGGGGCCCAGGAGCGAGGCAGGATCCTTCCCTGAGGAGTTCCCGGTCTTCACAGACCAGAGCAGCGCGTTAAGGAGGAGTGAGGATGCCGTGGTGTGAGTGCCAGTCCTACTGCCATGTCTGCACATAACAGAGCAGAAGCCCCTGCTTCCCAAACGCTGTGTAACCTGGGAAGTGTCAGTGGGTTGAATTTCCTTGGTTTGCTTCTCAGCCCGCACACTCAGGAGGGCTGCAGCTATCAGGCGAGTGTGGTGGGGATAAAAACTCTCCTTCCTCATGTGCTTGGTGATGGGAGGTACTGAGCAGCACCACGGCGTTGTTCTGAAGATGTGCTGCTGCTTAGGCAGTGATGGAGCTGAGCTTCAGGTCACCGTTTGTTGTAGTTTACTCAAGATCCAAGCGGTGCTGCTTGCAGGAGCTGACTGAATCGGTTTCAGGAGCTGACTCTCCTCTTTCAACAGCAGCAAAGCAAGCACGTGTTGCACGTTAAGTGCCTTGGGAATAGAATGAGGTGTTGGGATTGCATGAAGTATTTGGAATATCTCCAAGCTGCGCCCATGCTAAAGGAAAGGCTTGCTGCAAACTCTTCAGGCATCAAGCAGATTCCTCTTCCGTCAGTCCCACACATATCGAAGTGTCTGTCTGTGCCAGGGTAAGTTTGTGTGTCTCAGGGCTGGCGGATGTGCTGAGCAATACATCTGTCTGCAGATATGCTGCCGAGCAGCACGGGATGTGGCAGAGAGTGCCGAGAGGCTCAAGGTATTCACCACTGGAATATCACAACAGCTGTGATTCATTTCTGTGGAGATAAATCTGTAGTGGCTGAGTCTCAGTGATAAACATCATGTAAGTCCTTGTCAAGGTTTTTCGTGTGTTCCTTTTCATTTGTTAGTTATAGTATTTCTGGCAAAAGTTACTGCGTGGTTCTAAACCATAAAGAAGAAAAAAGCTCCCCCCATGATGACTACCTGATTGTAGTGGAAATGCTGCCAGCATTTGCAAGAGAGAAGCTGCTGATGTCTGACTTGACTTGGTGAAAAAGAAATTTACTCCCCTGCATTTTGGCCCCCAGAGATGGTATCAGTGAAATTACAGAAGGTGCCCCCCGCCCCCACACACACACCTGTTATCAGCATTTTTGAAGTACAGTCATTCTGGCAGGAATTCAGATCTAGAATGTATGAACACATTAACACCTTTTCCAGAGCTCTTTTATCAGAAGACATTGTGTTCTCAAATAGGTCATAGAGACAACAGAAAAAGCAAGAAGTAACAAGACATTTCTGTGTAGCCAAAGTAACTTACTGGCTGCTGCTGCTGGGTCTTGCTGCAGAAGTAAAATAATTTTGATAAGAAATTTCCTGTTTAAATAGACATTTGACTATGTGTCCTTTGGCTTTAAGGAAGTCTTAAAATCCTTTCCTAGTTGCTTAGCTGTCTGGGTGGTTTTTATTACTTTGAAGTTCGGCTTTATCTGCTGGCTTCATTCACAGACTAGCTGGCTGCTTATCACATCTGTGGATCAAATCTTCAAAGGTTTTGTCTGGAGAGTTGGGATTGATGAGCTCACGTGGAATGCCCCTCGGAGGGCGGTGAGCCCATGGCAGCAGAACTGTGGGGAAAGGCTTTGTGTGTAGGTGCTGGAGGTGGGCGTGCGGTGGGGAGGTGCTGATAGCCGGGGAAGCGCAGCATTGCCAGCGCTGGCCCCTTTTCAGCAGCATATAGAGAATGTGGGAGACCAGAGCGCATTCCTAGACACAGACTCACCGTGTTGCTGCTTCCAGTAGAGCTGTGTGAAATGTCAGAAGGAATTAGACCCGTGCTGGAGCTGACAAGCACATCGGGCTCTGCAGCACAAGGCTTCGCTGCACTTTTACAGCCAAGCTTACCAACTACACTCAATGGGGAAAATGGACATTTTTTTTTTCCCTCCAGAAAGGTGGCTGCTTATTAAAAGTTAAATTTTTAAAAATGCTTAAGAAAGGAGAAAAAAGAACACAAAAAGCTGCGTAAGTTTCTGCATACTTCAGCGAGCAGCAGCTGTCAAATCTGCAGCCAAGACTGCCTTGTTCCAGCCCCAAGCGTCCCTGGAACAGTGTGCCAGCTGAGGCGAGCATCTCCAGGAAAAGCACATTACAGGGCTCTTGTGCTCTTGCCTCTGGAACAGAGCATGGTTTTCAGGCTGTGTTCAGGCATGCCAGGCTTTGCTGACTGTACAAAAATGGGCGGGCTTGGTGCGGCAGCATATGTTTGTTGCATTTTTGAGTGTCTTGCAAGCAGCTTTAGCTGATTAGGTCACTAGAGATCATGCTTGGCTTCGGACAAGCACAGTGATACAACTGCGTGTGCTGTGAGCTGGAGAGAGTATTCTGTGCTGATTTATACTTCTCAGCTTCCATTCAGGAGATGATGATTCTGTTAAAGGATTGTAATGATCTCTTAAAACAGTATCGGAAAGAAGGCGGTGTTTCCTTGGATGCAGCACACTGTGACCTGCAGCAGGGTGAACAGATTGTAGGTGCTGTGACGGCAGGACAACCCCACTCACTGTGAAGGGTTTAGGAATGTATGTAGTTAATTTGATATACTTGGAGCTGTGGCTCGTTGCCGTCTTTGACTCCTCCATTAGAACGTGCGGCTGCCGCAAAGACAAGTTTCACGTGTGTGTGCTTGTATTCTTTGGCCAAAGCTGCTCTCTTTCAGCACTGAATACTCAGCCCCTCTTTGGGGCTCCACCCCTGTGAAGGAGCAGAGCCTGTTGAGGCTCTGGAGCCGCCGCTGTCCGCCTGCCATGGCTCCTCCTCCCCTCCCACCCTTGGGTGGAACCAGAGAAGGGAAAACTTGCCAGTAGTTAGCAGCGGCAGAGCTCGCAGAGCCCCTGCAGCAGCATGTCCCACTAGCCCGGCTAGCAGTGCTCCTGTCCTTCCCGAGGTGCTGCTGAGCGCTGGAGAAGATGGTTATAGCAATGGGAGCCAGGAAAAATCTGAAAAGGAATGAGCAGCCGAGAGACCTGGCATTCCATGGGCAGCTTCAAAGGGAGGTGAAGTATCTGAATCAGCGCAAGAGTAAATGAGCCCTGGCTGCTGCCATGTTGGCAGAACAGAGCTGTTCAGAGGCAGTTGGACGAGTTTGTGGCTGATCCGGTTTATCCAGTGTTGAAGATGGGAAGTTACTTGTCTGCTCCAGCTTACTTTGCTCCCAAGGATCCCTTTCGGTAAGTCCTGCACAGGGTCAGCAGTGGGCCTCCAGAGTGTGCTTTCCCCCTGTGATGCCATCCCAGGCACTCAGTGTGCGAGGCTGGAAGAAGGAGGTCCTGTGCTCATGTGCCAGAAACAGCTGGCCTCAAACTGGGACCCCGTGTTGCTTTCAGGAGGTGACAGGGAAGATTCCAGTCCCTTCCCAGCTGCCTGGTTCGAGGGAGCAGCTCCAGTGTGTGCACAGCCAGGCAGGCTCCCTTCAGAGAGCACTCGATGTGCCACTGTGCCCTGTGTCCCTGTGCTTTGCTCACCAGCAGAGGAATGAGATTAATGTGGCTGCTGCTGCTTCTCTTCCAAAGCTCCTTGTGACTGGGTGAGGTGAGGTGCTGCTGTGGGAGTTCAGGAAGGTGATGTAATCTGCAGCGAGGCAGCACATAATCCTGTTTAAGAAATGAGGCACTTTGCAGGTAACTAGGGATGAGAAGGATTCTTCTGTGATATTTTGGTTAATTCAACTTTTATTCGGTTTTGGTCCAATTGAACAAATGAGAATGGAGAAAGGCGATAGTTCCAGAACAACACTTTGATTGCACTGCTTCTCTACAGTGAGAGAAGTCGGTGAGGCTGAACACAGCCAGGCTGGTGATTGACACTGATGTGCTGATTAGGTGGATAGATGGGGAAAGGCACAGCTTGCACTTTCATTGTCTTCCTCCTATCCCCTCTGCTCGGATTTGCTTGTTATTGATCCTGTTCCACAAACACTTTTGTACTGGTTTGGGAGTAAGGAGCCTGTTGGTAAAACAGTGTAGGATAGGAGTAAATACTCCTGCACAGTTGCTGAGCTTCTTTAGGCAACTTTCTGAAACAGCAGCTGCTTTCAGAAGAAGGAAAGCGAGCAGACACTCCTTATTTGTAATATGTGTATGGTATTATGCTAAGCCATAGATATACCTTCTCCTGAGTGTGTGGAAATGGTTTTGCATAGTCAGAGCTGAAGCACTGTTTTTCTAGTAGTCTGTTTCCTAGCGTCTGTTCTTCCTTGTCTGGTGTCTCTTACGTAGCCAGAGCACACACACACTGCTGCTAAGCCCGGGTGAGTAAGCCTTGGGGTGAGCTGCAGGCTGGGCTAATGCTTTATTCTGCAGCTCTGTGTGACTGTCCTCTCCCTGCCCTGCCTGCATGATTGGAACCATGGCTCTCCTGAGCCTGCCTTGTGTTAACTGATCTGGCCTGCCAGTGTGTGTGAGGGGGCATTTTGTTAATGAGCACATCTCCAAGGGATCTGTCTCTTCAGTGCCAGGGAAGTCTTTGCTTCCATGAAGGTATTGCCTTTCATTTAGCTGTAAAAGAGATGCCACCGGGCACCAGTGCTGCTTTTCAACTGAAGCTGGGCTGGTTACCTGTTGTGACCTGATCCTCCTACCACCCACACCCCACAAAACCAAGAGTCCATGGAGCAGTGATTTGTGAGCTCTTTCTGCACTTGCTGTGCTGCAGAGCATCAGGGCTGAACACTGCACCCAGATGCTGCTTGCAGCTCCTGGACGATGGCTGTGGGAGGCAAATTAATTTATTCTGTGCAGCCAAAGCTGGGAAGTGAAGAATTATAATGTCTGATGTGTATAATCAGAGCAGGGTTCTGCAGCTCTGAAAATGGTGTCTGGGCAGCAAGAGGAAGCACATATGCAGGTGTATGGCTGCTACCAGTCCTCCATGAAACTTGATGACCACAGTTTGCTACTCTGTAATAAGAATAGCAGATAATCTAGGAGAAGATTAGTGGTTTCTAATCTATAAAAGATAGAGGAGCATGGCATACTCCTTTCTCTTGGTTGTGGTGACTGGCAAAGGTTAGCTTCCTTAATACTTGTAGCAGTAATTGCATTCCTGTCTCAGCTGATGAGAACCTTGGTGCAAGGGCACAGCTCCACTGAGGTGGGAGAGGAAGAAATGGCAACTCTTGTATCTTCTGGGATAAAATTCTGACATATCTCTTCAATGAGAGCCTTGTGGAACAATCATGTGCTGCTTTTATCACTTGGTGAGTGATAAAAAAGCATTGAAGCCATACCTGTGTGCTGTCAGCCAGTTTCCCACACCTGCCAAATCCAAGCCTTTTTGAGGTTACAGAATGCATGGTAAGTGACAAAGGTGCTGCTTGGCAGCATGGGCTGCAGCCTTGTCCTGCTCCTGGCAGGGATTAACCAAGCAGCCATTTAGAGCCATTCCAGCATCCAGCCTCTCCAGGGCTGCTTGCTCTGCTCCTGTTGCCTCATTGCCCAGGGTGGGGCTCTGAGCCTTAAGCTGCAAACTTGTCCTGCCCAGATTTGTTTAATTACATAGCAGAGAACTGACTGCTTGCTGACTCCACCTCCTCACCTTCATTTTGCTATGGGTGTGTTCCAAATTAGATACCAGTGCTTATTTCCGGATGGAAGCAAACTTAACTAAGTGCTATAAGGTTGAATCAAACCATGTCATACTAAAGGAGGGGTAAAGGGAAGGCAAATGCACATGATCCCCCACCTAAACAGAACTGTAGTTTGTATTGCTTTTGCAGAAATTTTACATTTACTTAGGGAGAAAAGGAAAGGGGTTGAAGGTGAAATTGAAGAGGGGTGAGAAAGGGAAGGTGATGTGCTTAAAAACAAACAAGTGACCCACCTGTGTGGAGAGAACGCAGAAAGGCAAGTCCTGGAATCCTGGTGAAGCAGTCTCCAGCACTGCTGTCTGCATCCCAAGTGCAGGTCTGATCACAGCTCCCTGTTTGAAGATGTAATCACTGGTGTGATTACCAGTGTGGAGCACACACACTGGTACAGGCATGCATGGAGGAGTTGGATAAGTCTGAGGGATCCGATTTGCCCATGCTGAGCCAGATGTTCCTGCCACAAAATGATAGAAATCTTTGCTGTTAGTCTCCACTTGCTCTTTTTTCCCTCCCACTCACCTATTTGCTCATTCAGCACAGGGTATTTACTGGAAATGGAAGCCAAAGGCCAGTGGTTGAAGGCAGAATGCACTGGGATGCCTTCTGGGTCTCTTGCATACCAGGAGCAGGGTGTAACCATGACAGTGCCCCCAGGCTGGGGCTCTAGTGATGTATGTACCATGTAAAGCAATCTTAAATTACTGTTCCTTCTACTTCACACAAAATTGGCAGGGCCTGTTGCATGTGCTGGAGTTCTTTCCCATCACTTGGAGGGGGGACAGGATTTGATGCTCCTCAGCTGGGAGAACAAACACTGTAGAAGCCAAATACATCTTAGGGAGCAAACTTCCTGAGGGGAGGGTACAGCACTGAACACTCCATGAGGTGTGTTTTTCCCTAAAGCCAAAGGCTGCTTACAAGCAGCTTTATCTTGTCACTTTGCAGTCTCTTGAGATGGAGCAAATAACTCTCTGTGCTCTCTTGGAGCATGACCAGCCTCACATATCATCATGCTCATTACAAGCTGCTGGAGTTTACAAGGAATGTCTTTGGCACAAATAAGCTTTTAGGAAGCTCATGAGAGGTGAAGTCAACTGTAGCTCTCATCTGTGCCCTGGGAGCATGGAAGAAGTGCTCCAGTGCCACCAGCAGACTGCAGCACACTGGGTGCTGAGGGAGACCAGCTCCTGAAGGGACACCCCCTAAACCCCCATCCCACTGCAGTGCTTCCCCCCAGTGCAGTAACTGAGACAGGTGCTGGGGTAGGAGACAGAAGAAAGTCTTCTTCTCACATTTGGGAAAGCATTGTATCAATGACAGGACTGATCCTCAGGTGTTTCTTTGAACCAGTTGTTGGTGACTAACCTGGATTCTGCACTCAGAAATGGCCAGTGCCAGACTTATTTTCCTTTTAAAGTCTGAGAACACACTGCCCAGGGCTAATGGAATAATCCTTACTGATGCAACTCCTGTCTGTGCCTTATCTCTCCAGTAAGTCACACCTCTGTGCTGCTGAAGTTAAACTCCCTTGCCCAGTGCATCTTGCTGAGGCAGGATTATTTTGTATTCAGCAAGCCTGGGTTCTGCTTGGGATTTTCTAAAAAGGTATCTGCAGTAGAATTTCTGCTTTTTTTTTTCCTTGATTTTTTTTTTGGGGCGGTGGGGAGTTTGTTTCTTGAAAGGATGTAGATAGACAATTAATAATCATTTCTTGTTGAAATAGAGGCTGACAGATATGTGAAGGATCTGGGGATTCTCTTCATGAAATCAGAGAATTAGTTTTATTTAGGAGGTTTTTTTTGTGAGTTGCTTGTGATGTTTGTTTTCTCATGCACTGTGATCAGCAGAAGAGAGAGCAATCGGCTGGGAAGGGTGAACTTTAATCACAGTTAATTGGTGGATGCAGTAATATATAGAGCTCAGGGGATGAACTGCTTTGAAAACTCTCCCTCAAATGCAGAATGCTGCAGTTTACCTTTTGGGAGAGGCCTTCCTACAGAACAATAGAAAAACTTTCCAGAAAGGTTGGTGCAAAACTGGCTTTGCATTTCAAAGGGAAATGGATCCTGGTGCTCAGTCCTGCTTCCTGAACTGGCTGAGGAGGCAGGTGCCCTGGCACAAGGCTGATGCTATAGAAACACTGAGCAGAAACAGAGCAGAGCTCTTGCTGTGCTGGGCAGCTCTGCAGCTGGAAACTTGCATCCAGAGAGAAAGCAGAGGAGCAAAATTTACAAAGCAAAATTTATAAATGTGGGTTTCAATGTGTGGGATTTGTTTTAAAATTTGAAAGCTTCTTTTTCTTTGTACTGGTTGAATCCACCTCTCCTTACAGACTTTGGGCTTGGTGCTAATTTTCAGTCCAAAGAGCACTGGGAAGTGAAGGGTTTAGTACATCCATAACTGGCAGACCTAGCTGGTGGTGAGCTGTGCTGAATGTGTTCTCCATGCAGGAAAGGACTGTAGATTTGTGACTTGCTGCCAACTGGAACTTTGCTCTTTTGTTTCCTTCAAGGTGCTCTGAATGCCAGGATCCCCTCACTAACTGGTACTATGAGAAAGATGGGAAGCTGTACTGTCACAAAGACTACTGGGGGAAGTTTGGGGAATCTTGCCATGGCTGCTCTCTGCTGATGACTGGACCTGTGATGGTAAGGACTCTGAAGGACTTCTGCCTGGAGGCAGGACATGCCTGCCTCCATCTCCTCAAACTTAGCTGGGAGTTATCCTGGGTGTTCAGATAACCAAATAAACTGAGGGTAATAATCTCCTTGTTCCTCTAGTCTCTAATCAAAGATTAGAAATGAAGCTTGTGTGTGCATCTTCTAGATAAAAATTAATTTTGAGTGGGGGTAGCTGTTGGAGGAGGGAGATGTGAGGATCTGAAGCATATGAACAAATCAAGTGCTGAAAAGTACAGACCTGTGAAGCAGAAAGGTGATTCAGGGGACATCTGTTCAGTTTCTGTAGCACAGTGCCTCTGTGTCTCCAGGGGTGATTTTCCACTGCACTGTGGAGTCCCAGCTCTGAGCTCAGGGTAAGCAGCAGGTTCTGGCTGTGGGAAGGTTGCCATCCAAGTCCCACCTGGGTTGTGGCCAGAGTGCTTTTTCAGGCTGACAGTGTCTTGAAGCAGTGTTAGCCCCAACTGCTTTGATGCATTGAACTCTTCCTCCACAATATGGGCTCACCTAAATGTTCCCCTCCTGCCACAGCCTTGCAAATATTTAAACTTTAAAACTGCCAAGAATGAAACAAAGCCATTATTTTTCTAGGGCCTAAATAAAAAAGCAGGATGGTACTCAGTAATATGGTTGCTACCTCAAAAGGAAATACTGAGAAATGTGCAGACAATTTCTCATTGCCTGCAAAAGTCTTTGCATAATAATGTCACTAAAGGAAGTTCTCGTATGGGAAATAGAAGAATAGACCAATTAATAAAAATATTCTTTAAAGGTATTTTTTGTCTCAGTTTGTGCTTTTTTTTTCTGTCAGTTGGCTGGTTAAATATCTGGATTTGTGCACTGCCTGTCTGCCAAAAAAAGCCCTTTCAGCTTTATTAATTCAGGCGTAACATTAATTATCTTGCCAAGAGCAACTGAACAGGAAGGTTTAATACCTTGTTTACTAGTCTGCAGCAGACTATCAACTATTTCTGATAGTTGAGCAGCTGCCAAATACAGCAGAGGTTCCTGGGACACGAGCTTTGCTTGGAGTGTTAATGTGTTTGTTTTGGAGTTCTGTAAACAAGGTGCCATGGATGGGGCTCAGGAAGGACAGAATGGACTAATATAACTCCTCAGTGAAAAACTGCCTTAGAGATGTGAGTGAACACATTGATTGCAGAGGAAAGCAGGAGCTGCATCTGCTGATGGGTTTTGGCCCTCCTAAGCTACTCCCTTTCCTGTCTCTAGGTGGCTGGCGAATACAAGTATCACCCTGAGTGTTTTGCTTGTATGAGCTGCAAAGTGATCATCGAAGATGGGGACACTTATGCACTGGTGCAACATTCCACTCTCTACTGGTAAGAGGAGCTGCACTTTGCCACAGCCCTGCTTCCTGCTGAGCGTAAGCTGTGTTCAGCTGGCTCGGAGCTCAGCCCAATGCTGCTCTGAGGAATGCCAGCAAGCTGCCTTGGAGGGAGGGAGGGAGGAAGGAGTGGTGTAAGCACTAAAACTATGGCTTGTGGTCAGTGAGAGAACTCAGACGTGTGAGTTTGGCAGGGAGGGATGGGAGTCACATTGCCATAATGACTTTCTTCGCTCTTCCAGTGGAAAATGCCATAACCAGATTGTGCTGACACCGATGATAGAAAAACACTCCACTGAGTCTCTGCGTGAGCAGCTGCCTTATACACTGACCCTCATCTCCATGCCAGCAGCCACTGATGGCAAGAGGGGATTCTCTGTGTCTGTTGAAGGTGGCTGTTCCAGCTATGCCACTGGTGTCCAGGTGAAAGAGTGAGTATGACAGGTTTTGTGCATTGTATGTGTCTGTGCAGAGGGAGCTTGTAAAAATCCTGCAGCATTGTTGTCCTGAGGGAATCTTGGGGTTACAGGGATGTAGGTTGGCTAATAGTCATTTGTGTTTGGTCTTCATTTCAGTCTTGTGAGAACCTTAACTGATATAATTGTAGGTCTCAGTGCTGTCTCCTTCAGTGAACACAAAATATTTGGACTAAATTTTACCTCTGGTGATATGAAGAGCTCTCTCCAAACCAGCTCAGCAGTTGGTCTAATGGTAGCTCCCTGTGCTGGTAGATTAGCACTGGTTTATTTCACAATACCAATATGAAGGGGAGCATGTTTTTGGTAATTTTGGCTAAACTGACTTCACATACAGACTGTAATTCCCACATTCAGAGTTAACAGGATGCACATCAGCCCCGATGTCCGGAACGCCATCCACCCTGCAGATCGGATCCTGGAGATCAACGGAGCTCCCATTCGTACCCTGCAGGTGGAGGAGGTGGGTAGAGTTCTGTTCTGAAGCCTCCTTCTCCTCTGCCTTCCTGCATCTTTTCTCTTTCCTGACACTGTTCTCCCACCCTACATACAGGGTGTGTACACCACTAGTACTTGTGCTGACAGGAGGAATAAACATGAAGGCAAGATTTGTCTTCCAGCTGGAGAGGAAATGTAACAGATGGAAATGCAGTTAGGATTCAGTCCTGATTTTGTGGCATTCAAACGTGAAGGGAGGTAATAAGAAAAGTCTAGGGCTGTGACAGAGGACAGAGAGGCTGTGAAGGCTTTCCCATGTACTGCTGGTAAAGTGCACAGTTCTGATCCTTCTAGAGGCACTGCTAATACACAAGGGCCCAGCTGCTCCTAGGGATGTTCCCATTGCAAAAAAACTATTTGCTGTCTTTATTTACAAGTAGATGCTTTCTACAGATATCCAGTGATGCTGCAGGGGTGTAAGGGGCACCATTGCCTTCACTTCCCAAGGGTTTTATTACTGTTGGCACTAAAGAGAAGATGAGGAGCACGAGGCATCTCTCAGATAGATCTCCATGTAGCTTTTGCAAAGCTGTTTTTTGCAGCACTGTTCAAGATGGAAACTTGTGCAGTTTTTGAACACTTCCCAGAGAAAGAAAAGTATTTAATGTAGTCATAAAATACCAGACTGGAAAGCACCTCAAGGATCATCTGGTGCAATCTTTCTGGACAAAAGCACTATCTAGAGCACTATGTCCAGCTCAAACATAAATGTGTCCAGTGTTGGGGAATCCACCACTTTGCTGGGGAGATAATTCCAAGGACTGATTGTTTTTTGTAAAAACTGTCTTTGTGTCTACCTGGAATCTTTCCAGGATTATTTTGTACCGTTACCTCTTGTATCTTCCATGTAACTCCTTGTGAAAAGGAAGTCTCCATCTTCTTTGTAGCCACTCTTTAAATACTGGAACATGGTGATAAGGTCTCCCCTAAACTTTCTCAAGGCTGAACACACCCAGTTCTCTCAGCCTTTCCTCACGTGGCAGCTTCACAGCACTTCAGTCATCCTTGTGGCCCCTCTCTGGACCCTCTCCAGCCTGTCCACATCTTTTTTATATAGGTTACTTGTAGCTGACCAGAAAGAAGTATTGGATAGCACAAGGAACTTGTGTTGCCAGCCCGATTTGTCTGGTAGACAGTTGTGGTGCACACAACTAAACCACAACTATGGAGTGATCTCACTGAACTCTCCCTCTGATTCCTGAGGGGCATTCCCTGTGTCTCCTCTGTCTCCTGTAGTTTGCATTCCTCCATCTGCTGCTACGCTGCCCTTTGGTTTGCTTTCAGGTGGAGGAATTGATCCGCAAGACAAGCCAGACCCTTCAGCTGCTGATCGAGCACGACCCTGTGTCGCAGCGCCTGGACCGGCTGCGCCTGGACTCCCGTCTCCCCAGCCACATCAAGACACCCATCTCCCCCCGCTCCCTCTCTCCTCTGGACATCAAGGAGAACCTGGAAGGAACGCTGCGACGGCGCTCCCTCAGGTAAAGACTTGGAAGCACTGCCTCTGCCCTGTGCTCCCTGGCTGGACAGCTTAGCCTTGTGATGGCAGTCACTGTGGGGACAGGCTTAGCTCTGATGTGAGCTGTGGTGAAACCAGTGGAGAAGTCATGGAGAGCTTTGGATTCTGCTGTTGATGTACACGCTCTCTCCATTGCCTTTCAGGGTGGCAAATCTTCAGTAATAAAAAAAGAAGCTCTACTGTTAACAGAGAAAAGCTACTAAGTTTCAGAGTCAGTTAATGTAAAGGTCAGGTTTTTACCAGCCTTGGATGACTGGGGAAGAATTTGGGGAAGGGGAATCTGGCTGAGACCTGGGTCTTGGGAAAAAGTCTTTCTGAGAGTGGAGGACTCAGTTGCTCATTTAGTTTCTACCAGTTTGTTTAGAGATAGCAAGTGATGTGTCTTCACAGCTTCCTCCCCCAGTTCTCAGAGCTCCACCTCAGACTGCCAGTGCAGCAGAGCTTGTTGTTGCTGTTAGGCAGCTCTGACTTGGAAGCTGCTTTGGATTCATAAGGAGCTTCCACAGTCCTGGGAGAGCATCTGGGTTTGGAGATAGTGAAAGCACTGGAGCACATTAGAAAGTGGTCCCTTTGCAATGAATGATGGGACCAAAGGTTACCCAGCAGCTTCCCTGATCTTCCTGTCCTCCTTGTTTTCCAGGAGAAGTAACAGCATTTCCAAGTCTCCCGGCCCCAGCTCTCCAAAGGAACCTCTCCTTCTGAGCCGTGACATCAGTCGTTCTGAATCCCTGCGCTCCTCTTCCAGCTGCTCCCAGCAAATCTTCCGGCCCTGTGACCTGATTCATGGTGAAGTTCTAGGAAAAGGATTTTTTGGACAAGCGATCAAGGTGAGGGAGGTCCTCAAACATCCATCAATTACTTTGAGTACAGCAATGTCTGCCTGTCTTGGCATCCTTCCCCACCTTCTCGGTGGTTTTGCCTTCCCAACAGTGATCAGTCTGGGATCTTCCCTGGTTTGCTCTGAGATCCATTTCTGTTTCCTTCCCTGACCATGAGTGTGTCTGACTGCAGATGATTTTGACTTTGTCCCATTTGAATGTCAACCTTGGCTGTACATGTTCATCTCATGAGTCAGATGTAGCACTCCAGAGTGCCTGTCACAGCAGGCTCCTGGCTGAGGAGGGAGAATGGGGAGCAGGCCACACTTCCTCTTACAAGCATCTTTCCTATGATGTGCACTCAGCTCCCCGGCATTTCTTACCCACCCTTAGTGTGGCATGTTCAGGGGTTTGCTAGGCTGATGTAGTGACCATGTCTGAACCCCTGGCACAGCATAAATGGCTTGTCAGTGTGGGGGTAGTGGCCAGGTCTTGCATGACTCTCACAGTTCCAATCTCAATCCATAGCATTCTCTTGCATTTAAGCTCTCTGACCTTGACTGAGGGTACTCCATCAGTTCCTATCCCAACATTCCTGACAGCATCAGGGGCAACTTCCTCTGCCTTGTTAAGGTTCTGTGAGTTCCTCAGTACTCAGGCTGCACTCACCATGGGATGGGACTTTTCCCCTTACACTGGTATAAACCTGAGGTGTCCAGCCACCATGTTCATTTCATGCTTCCATGGGAGGTGATGAGCCAGCACTACAACCCCAATGCTTGATCCATACTAATGAGCATATTTCTCTTCTTCTCTGCTCATAGAGAAATAACAGGTGCAGGTAAGTGAAACCTTTGCTCTGTTGCATGCTTTTGTCATCTGTGTCCCAGCAGTTACTGGCACAAAGGCATTTCTTTTCTGCTCAAATTGCCCCATGGCTATCTTGTTCTGGTGCATGCTCTGGGAGTTAAATTTGCCCCCATGGAGTTTCATGTGACACTTGGTTTAGTTTTGCTGGTATGTCAGCTTAAGAATTCCACTTAGCCTTGCCTTTGTCTCTTCACTTCCCTTTATCATTGGATATTAGATGTCCCTGGCTGAAACATGCAGTGTTCCCTGGCTCATTACCTGTGTATGGATGCTTGATTTCAGATGGGAGCAGAAGAATATTGTACTCTTGCTTCTGTTGTGTTATTCCATGCACTCACATTCCACCTGTGTCAGCTTTGTGATGTCCATGGCTCCAAACAGAACTGGTGTGTCACAGTGTTTGCAAGAACTCATAAGCTTCCTAAATACTGTAACTGGGTCATGTGTTCTGGATTTTAGTTCTAGAGGTTTTCTAAAGGACTTTTTTGCCTCCTACCTTAAAAAATAAAAAAAAAAAGTGACATTTTTCTTAGGCTTCAGATTGACTGGGTGTGATGCAGCAAGTCTTGTATCTGGTCACATAATTCTCTTCTGATCAGAGAGGCAAGGTGGCTGTTCAGTTCACTGCAGATCTTAGGGAACCAGAGCTGTCCAAGTTAAACAAGTGAAGAGGAGAGGATTTCCAGGAAAACATGCTCATAGGAATTTGGATCCTTTCTACTCACTCCTGCACCCTGTGCAAGCAAGCCTGAGCTGGTTACAAAAAGCCTCCATAATACAGCAAAATGCCAGGAACTAGTTGGAGACAGGCACACAGTTCTTGAGGAACTGGAAATGCTTTCTATGTCAAGAGCCAGGAAATTTATTACCTTATTATTGTGATGGATTTCTTTGTGTTTTGCACTGTTCTAGGACATTCCTTGCATGTTGAGACACACTGCTCCAAAGAAGCAAGGTAAAATTAACTGCTTCTTGCCTTAACTGAACAGCCTGTGCATTCCAGTTCCACTTGCATGTGGATGAGATTCCCCATAAAGCCAAAGTATTTATAATGCAGTTTTGGGTTGTTTGGTTTGGTTTCTGATGCAAATGAACATTGATTCTTTTGCTGATACAGAATGCAGTTAGTGAAGCCTGTGTACAAAATGTGAGCATCCCTCTGGACAGATCTGTTCCATAAGGGAACTTGGAGCATGCACCAGTGTGGAGGCTTTGGCAGCCTGGTGCACACTCAGCCCTGTGCTGCCCAAACTGGAGCCTTCAGCTCTGGATCTTGGCATGGTGCTCTGTCAGCTTTAGGTAGTTTCTGTTTCACATACAGCAGATTCAGTGAATTCCAAAAGGAGAAGTTTCACGTGGTTTTCAGCAGATCCCTGGGCTCTGAATTTCCTCCCATCTCTATTCTTCTCTGGATGGTGGGGAATGTGCACTTCTAAAGAAGTTGCAGGAACATTGGACATGTGTATTCTTGAACCTTGCCTGTAGTTGTGGGTTTTGTTTCCACCAGGTGACTCACAAAGCAACAGGAAAGGTGATGGTGATGAAGGAGCTGATTCGCTGTGATGAGGAAACACAGAAGACTTTCTTGACTGAGGTAAGAGCAGGATCTCAAACAGCTTCTGAGCCAGTAGCATGGTAGAACTCTCCCATCTTCTCCAGAGAGAGAGATCCTGCCAGCAACGTGGCAGGAATGAAGGTGCTGAGGAGGGAGACATTGCATGGGGAAAAGCTGACATGAGCTGAATGTTTGCTGCAGTGAAGTGTGACTCACACTGGGCAATAGACATTGCTTCAGCTCCAGCTCATTAATTTTTCAGTGATAAGAGCACCTTCAGAGGCAAATTGAGCTGTGCAGTACATAAAGGATTTATCCCTTGAGCCTTGTGCATAAGTACAAAGGATGAGGGCCAATATCTGTAAGATATTTAAGGCTCACGCTGTATTTAAGCAAAACTATTTTCTTGGTGGCTGCCTACCATGTTTTTCAAAGTCAGATTTAGCTTAAAGGCAGTTCCCTAAACACCTGACACTGCTGTTGTGGCCCTGACACACACAGCACAGACCCAATAGCTGCTCTGGAGAGTTTTGCCCTCTGAAATGTTAGCCAGACTCAAGGATGCTCTCCTTAAAGACTAAGATCAGCTTAATTGCACAGCATGAAAATGAAGAGGCAACAGTTAATTGACTGCCTTAAGGTTGGGTTTGAGTGATCTCTGTGATCCCTGAACAGGACTTTGAGCACTGGAGTGCTTTTCACCACAGAATGGATCTGTCAGGACTTGTTCCATTCACTTTTTGGGTGGGATGTCCCTTGCAGGTGAAGGTGATGCGCAGCCTGGACCACCCCAATGTGCTCAAGTTCATTGGTGTGCTGTACAAGGACAAGAAGCTCAACCTGCTCACCGAGTACATCGAGGGGGGCACGCTGAAGGACTTCCTCCGCAATGCAGTGAGTATGGACACCTGGGACACGTGTGCTGGTGAGCCTCGGTGTGCTGGTGGTTGTGCCAGCCTCACTACTCCTTATTAGTCTTCTTTGGAGCTGTGTAGTAAAGCTGCTTCGTAGCTGTGGGTGAGCTTGAGGCAGGAAGCCTCTTCTTGCTGGGGCTGTATCGTGTGTCTCTGACCACGGTAAGAGTCCCTCTTGTGAAGGAACTGCTGTCTCCAGCTGGCTGGTAAGATGGTTCCTGACCACTGAGCATTTCTCTTTCAGGACCCATTCCCCTGGCAGCAGAAGGTCAGCTTTGCCAAAGGGATTGCCTCTGGAATGGTGAGTGGGACTCTTCATAACAGAGCAGACTCTGGGGTCAGGGTTTGTGGCTTCAGGAGGGTGGTGTATGAGGGACTGTGGACACTGCCTGACTGCTGGAATTGGGTTGTGGAGTCTGTAAATGCTCAGCTGGGAACCCCTAACACCAGCTTTTCTCCTTCTGTTCCAGGCTTACTTGCATTCCATGTGCATCATTCACAGAGACCTGAATTCACACAATTGCCTGATCAAGCTGGTGAGTTACACCCCAGTTCCCACAGCATGCTGCTTCTCTCCTTGGCATCCTCCTCCCTTGGTTTTCTCCATATGATGTTCCCTCTTTTGTCAGGGTAGAACTGAGTTCAGAGAGGCTTTGTGCCCCAAGCAAAAAAAATCACGCAAGATTTTCCAGACTGATCCAGCTTTCACTGTTTCTGTGCTCTGTTCTTTTACCACCCTTCCTCTGGTAGCAGTTCCTATAAGAGTCACCTTCTCAGAGTTAGTACAGTTCTGTTCTGTATCTCAACTCTGAGGTGTTCTCTGCAGTTGTTTCTGTTGTTTTAACCACTGTATGACTTTTTATTGGCACTCAGGATTCAGACAAATGTGTAGGTGTGTGCACATGTGTGTTCTCTCATTTTTTTCAATGCTGGGTCACAAGATTTTTGTGTAGTTTCACTTCCTCAAGCCCACCCTTTTTCACTTGGCTTCAGACAACCCAGGATGAAAGTCCAAGTTAATTCCTGACCAGGTAAAAGAGGAAGATCTAAAGGAAAGGTCCAGGTTTCCCCTGGCAAGGGTAGCCAAATTGATGGGATAAGTTCTAGCAACCACACAGGAAATAAGATAATGAAGGGAGCAAGTGATGAGTTGGGATCCTGAACTGGGTATCTTACACTGTCTGGACATCTTGCTGTGCTCATGTGGCTGCAGGGAACCTGGATAGTTGCCTTAGACTCTGGTTGGTAGTGAACAGGAATTGCAGCCTCTTTCCTCCTGAAAGGGGCTGAGAGTGACCAGTCTTGTACCGAATCCCCTGTGCAGGATAAGACCGTGGTGGTGGCTGACTTTGGTCTGTCTCGGCTGATTGTGGAGGAAAGGAAGAAGCCCACTTTGGAGAAGCCGTCTGCCAAGAAACGGACGCTGCGCAAGAGCGACCGGAAAAAGCGCTACACGGTGGTTGGGAACCCGTACTGGATGGCCCCAGAGATGCTGAATGGTAAGGAGACAGCCTGGGACAAGGCACAGAGATGACAGGATTACTGAAAGTTTCTATGTCCCGGTAACCAAACCTTTTAGAGCCTGTGGTTCAGACCTGCTAATGTGGAAGCTTTTATATCCACAGAGGCCATAGCTGCAGTCCTGCAGTGCCTGCCCTGGGAAGCCTTTGTACCAGGCCAGGAACTGTTTCTGGCTCCAACAGGATTCTTCAGGAGGGCAACAGAATAAACTTGCTACAATCCAAATAAAAGGAAAGACAAAAGAAGCTGAGATAAAACTAAACCCAAGATCAATTTCTGTTATAGCCTCATGCTTTGGAACTGCCCCTTGAGACAGGGAATCATTACATTCTGGGATGAGATTTATGTGTGCTGTTGCACAGATCTAAGGAGAGGCCATGTGCTGCCAGGTTTGCTGAAGCCTCAGGATTCAGGTGCAGGGAAATCTGGGGTTTGACATGCAGCCCTCAGTTGCATTCATTAAGGTTGAGCTGTGACCCTTGGAGGAAAAGCTGCCCCTGCAGGAGTTGAGGTGAGGGTGAAACACAGTGGATGCAATTGCCTTGTAATGAGCAGGTCTCTCTGACCAGGTTAGGCAGTCTGGCTGGCTGGGATATCAGCATTGTCCAGCACAGTCTGCTGGGGAAGGGAGGACTGGGCTCCTCTCCCCCAGTTTTCTATGTTGCTTTCTTGTGTACAGTTCTGTTTGCCTTTCCTCAAGGCCTCCAGCCCTAAAGAAGTCTGAGGCTGTTTCTCAGAGTTTGTCTCAGTCCTGGCATTTGTCAAGAGAACAGCAAAATCATAGTCTGACATCAGCTCTGAAAGCAAGGCTGCTTACCAGTTAGTGGCTTGGGAGGGGTGTGTCTGTAAGCAGAGCATGGCGTGCTGGAGCCTGCCAGCTTTCCCAGGATCAAAGTGCTGCCGGTGTGTAATTTATTATCTCTGCAGCCACTGCAGCAGGGACTCGCTGGCTGCTGGGGAAGCTGAGCACTGGCTCCATGCTCTGTAGAGATCCACAAGAACAGCAATCAATGAAAATGGGCAGAGCTTTCCATAGTTATTCTTAGCATTTGCTCAGATCTGATGCAGTGTTGTCCTGTAATTCCCCAGTACAAGAGAGAAGCAGGCTTAAAATCTGTAATGGCAGTGTAATTAATGCAGCTGGGATATACAGATCTTGGGGTGACTGACCCTGCTCAAGACAAAGCCTAGCTTTGTCTCCTGTTTTAGGGCTCTCCAGGGAATAGCCTTAGTTAAGCTTGGTACTGGCAGCTCCTGAAATACCTGGGTGGGTAACTCTCTTTACAGAGCTGAATGTCTCATGTTTCCTACAGGACAGAGCTACGATGAGATGGTGGACATTTTTTCATTTGGGATTGTTCTCTGCGAGGTAAGACAAGGACATTAAATGGCATCTTTAATGTCCCCATCTCTGTGTACACATGGTATCACCCAGATCTCTGCATCTGAGTGTGCAGCCTGTGACCTAACAGCACATCAGCACATTATTAGTGAATTAGACTGGGAGAACAAGCTTACCCTGCCTCTGCTTCCTCAAGGAAGATAACTGTCTTGTAGTTTTCTGGTCCCAGTTTCTTCCTGGACTGAGAGAAGCTGTAAAATAGTCATCAAGTTCTGACTAAGCCTGCTATCTGTTTGAAAGTAGATGTATTCCCTAGAACTGTGGGTGGGTTTTTTTTTCTGCCTCATTAAAAGAACAATCAGCTGCATAATCTCAGCAAATTCAGGGCCTCCACTGGGGATGGCACTTCACTTCAAAGAGGTGGAAACAAAAACCTCTTTGCAGGTCGATTATTGAAGCTTGCACCCTGAAGTCTGTTGGCTTAGTTTATTTCTGAGCCAGTGCAGAGTCTGACTGTTATATCAGGCTTTTCTATCTGCAGAACAAAAAGCAGCACTTGAAAGCTGCAAGGTATTTTCAGTTTAAAAGGTGTGTATGACAGTGGAAATACAGATGAAAGGCACAGTGTTACGTGTAACACAGCAGTTGCAGGAACACCAGGGGATGCCAGCACAGTTTCATTTTCAGTGTCTGGATGAAGGGGACAAAGAAAATGTCTGTGCATAAATCTTTGTGGCCTCATCTGGAGCTCTGTTTACACTGGGCCCTCCTCTCAGAGAATGTTGTGGCTGTGAGTGATAGAGTTAGGAACTTGAAAAATCTGTATGTGGGATTAAAACAATTGTTTCATCTAGAAAAAAAAGACAAATAAAAGGGTAACAGCATAAGAACATTCTCTTTGTCACCAAAATTATGATGCCAAAAAAGCCCCCTAAAATTAAACACTCAAACAGATATGGACATAAACCTGCCAAAATACATAATGGGTGTTTCTGTCTAGTTACAGGATGTAGCTGTCGTGCTGAGTTACTGGCATAGAAAAGCCTGGGTGGTTATAAATAACACCCTTTCTATGATACCCAGTGAGGCTTTAAACCCAATACTCTGTCCATGTGAAAGTTTGTGTTGACCTTCCGAGTCCAGATCCCCCCACAGCTCTCTGCTGTGGGCTCCTTCCCTCCTACACTTGTGCTGGAGGGGGTGAGCACTGGGGCAATGCTGGGGCAGGCCTGCCCTGTCCACCCAGCCCTTTAGTGGCTCTGCTTTGCCTGCAGCCTCCTGGGTGTCAGTTATGGTTGTTCTTGTCTGTCCCAGCCCTCTGGCTGTGGTGGGGGCTGAATCTGCCTTCTGTCACTGGCAGAACAATTCAGAATTAGAGGTGCTGTTGACTTCCCAGCATTGTTTAGGACAGGCTCTGTACCGAGGGGCTTTGCTGATGGTGTGGTAACATGGTTAGAAAGGGGAGGGATGGGATGGTGATGCAGGTTGCCTTGATTACCTGCAGTCAGGAGGGGCTGCATCATCCCCAGCTGCAAGACACTGTGGAGCTCCCTGAGAGGGGCCCATCATGCTGTGTCTTCTGGCAGAGAGACCCTGGGCAGAAGGAGAAGGCATCTGGGACTTCCTCCACAGCCATGGACACATCGCCAGGTCTTGAAAAAGTTTCCAGTGATGTTTGTCTGTACATAGTGCCATGAGCTCCATTGGAAAGGAAGAACAGTTTCTGTTGTTTCCTTTCCACAATAATATTTTGAAGGAGCCCCTGCCTGATCTACTGCAGTACTTAAGTGCTTCTCTCACTCTCCCTAGATCATAGGCCAGGTTTATGCTGACCCAGACTGTCTCCCACGCACACTGGATTTTGGCCTTAATGTCAAGCTGTTCTGGGAGAAGTTTGTTCCTGCTGATTGTCCTCCAGCCTTTTTCCCTCTGGCTGCTATTTGCTGCAGACTGGAACCAGAGAGCAGGTAGGTTTGGGGTCTGGAGGACTCCTCTTTGGAAGCCTGCAGGATGTCTGTATTCCCATAGTGGAAGGCTGCTCTGCACAGAGGGAGCTCCAGCCATCTATGGGAATGCTCAAAGGCTTCCATGAGTGAGAGGCTTCAGACTCAACAGTTTGGGAGAGAGACTGCTGTATGGTAGAGATGTCTGAAACAATTCCAAGACAGAGAGTAAAGAAGGAATGATTGTTCAGGATTTCTCAGGTACAAAGAGTAGGGGCAGACTTTGACAGTAAGGTAAATACTTTGTTTGATTTCAGTTATGAAACTTGTAGCTTCAGAACAGTGTTGCTGCCAAGTAGGTTCCAAAGAGCTAGACCTCCCTGGCTATAAAAAAGGGTAGCCCAGACAGATGAGGGCTTTGCAGTCTTGGAAGCTGAATGGGAAGGAAATCCTGGCCCTGTTCACCATCTGTACATGGTACAGGGACCTGGAGGGACAACTAGCTCAGCCTTTCCAGATGCTGTTCTGCTTCCTCTTTCCTACTTATGTTTCCTCACTGCTTCTTCTAGGCCCCCTTTTTCCAAGCTGGAAGACTCCTTTGAAGCTCTCTCTCTGTACCTGGGAGAACTTGCCATCCCCCTTCCATCTGAGCTGGAGGAGCTGGACCACAATGTGAGTGTGCAGTATGGACTGAACCGTGACAAGCTACCTGAAGACACAACCTAGGCTGCTCGTCCTGCTGCCTGCACCACTTCACTGCAGCTGGGATGAGCGTCAGGGAGGGAGATGCACTTCAGCCACTTCCAGGGCATTAACGGGGCACCACGCTGTGCAGCTGCTGCACTGCCTCTCTCTCCCCACCCAGCTTCCCTCTTCTTGGATATCCTGATTCACTGTGGATTCCTGGCATGTTTCAGAAGCAAAAAGGACTGTTTCCTGCCAGCTGCACCTAGGAAAGCCGCTGAACACTATTTTTCTGGCTTGAGAAATATTTCTCTGGCCTTTTCAGGCTTCTTTACTGTGGTGCCTTAGAACTTGGCTGCAAGCTGTGAAGCCACCCTGGCCTGTCTGCCAGGGAGGGAATTGCTATAGGAGACTCTCCTGGGTAAGGACCAGTACTTCTGGAACAGCTTCTCCCACTGACTGCCCTGCCCAGCAAGCTGGGGAAATTGGACATCCAGCAACATGTCTCACCAGGACAGCACATGTATGTATTTGCATGTGTTTCCCAGAACAACCCACTGAGATTTTGGCCTCTGATACACATCAGAGGAAGGAGTAAAAAGCCCCAGGAATCGGGCAGCTCTCCTGAAATACCGTGACTGGGGAAGCACATATGGATTGTTGTTTTGGTTTTGTGGGCTTTTATTCCTTCTGTGTCTCTGAATACCTCCAAAAGCCTGCCTAGAAACACTAAGACTGAGCTCTGCTTGCCCCTCCTGATGGCAAATGAGGCAGGCAGCAAATGAGCCACTGGAGCATTTTCAGACCCTGCACCTGCAGTGAGGTTGCCTGCCCAAAACCTTAACCTAGGTGAAAGTATTTGAACCTGAATGTGTAGTTACTCTGCACTAGGCACTGGGTGTGGACATTCCTGAGTGCTTGAGCTCTTGGCCTGTGGATGTGAGGTGACAGAAATGGTGGCACAAGGTGCTTGTCAGAAAGCCAAAGGTTTGAAGTGGCTCAGACCTTGGGCATGGACAGTGGCAAAAGGGGACTTGCCCAAGGTTAATTAAAGGATGGACTTGTCATGAATAGAAAAGTGCTGGAGAATGTCCCATAGTCCCTGGAGTGGCAGCTGGAGAACTAATAATTCAGTTGCCACTACCTCGTCCTTTCCTGCAGATTGTGCAAGTTGCTCCCTTTGAAGGTCCTTCTTGCAGCTGCTGCAGCAGCACCTGAGCTGATTCTCCAAACAGAAATTTTCCTCAGGGTCATTCCCTGCTCTGGGGGGGGAAAAAAAGGGCTTGAAGTCATTGGGAGGTGGGTAGGGCTGTATTTTCTTCCAGTACTTCACTTCTTCCTCCCTTGGTGGGAGAAGGAAGGAAGGAAGCTACTGCTGCAGTAGCTCACATGCTTGGCAGAACTGAACAAAAAGCTGAATCGGGTTCTGCTCCAAGTCTCACAAACATCATGGTTTAACTGGATTTTTAGTGTGCTCCTTTTTCCCCTCCTCCTCCCTTCAGCATTGAATGGTTGGGAATGGGTGTTAGTCTTTGCTGTTACTTTGGTTTCCTCCCCTACCCATGAGTTGAAAGTATTATGTAAAATAACATGGGACCAGCCATCACCTGACATCAGCTATGCAAGGGGCGTGTTTTTAGTCTGTGTAGTGGTGTTTTAGAAACACTGGGGACTCCCTGTGCTGTAAGTCAGGCAGGAGCCTCTCTAAGCTGGGTCCAGTGGATCCAGGATTGTTAATAGGATTTGCCCTTTCATTGCCCCTCCCAGGCTGGTTTGTGAGGGGACCCCTGAAGGGAGAGTCCTGGGTGATGTGTGGGTGGGGTTTATGAACTGTGATTTGCACAGCTCCACGTTCTAACTAAATTAAAAAGCAGTACCTGTATGCTATTGAGAACAAGAGTTTGTGGTCTCTGTTAAATAAAAGGCGGAAGCTGCCGCCACTTTCTCGGGTTTCTATTGTAGTCACAACATGGCAACTGCCCAGACGAGGTAGCATCCAGAACACCTCTTTCTGAGTCTGTGGACTCTGCCACATTCACAGAACTGCAGAATCACAGTGCAGTGCTCTGTAGGACTATTACCCTGGAGTGAGGGAAAGGGAACAAGTTACGTTCTGTTCATTCGTTGGTTGGTTGAAGGGTGGACAGGAGTCACCAGATCATGGAGCGTCTCCATTTTCCTTTTCTAAACCAGGGAAAAAAATACAACCTGTTCTTGGAAACATCTTATTCTGAAATATGTAGTTCAGGGGACTTTTGTTAAGACAACAACTGACCAAAAATGCTGGCTCTGTTAGTACCTCCTGTAACCTGCTGTGCTCTGTCTCCACTGTACTTCTCAAGGGATGGAGCTGCTGCTGAGCACACCAAAGCAGAACTGACCCAGCTCAGTGCAGGAAGGGGCTGTAACCAAGAGTTTGTTCCCATGACCAGACTGCTGAGTAACACACAGCTGCTTTTCAGGAACAGTGTCCCAGTCCAAGAGCAGCTGCTGGCAGCAGGGAGACACGCTCCATGCCCCTTGTCAGTGTTGGTGCATGCAGGCACTGCTTGTAGGGATTGACTTTGATTGGCAAACCGAAGTGGCATCTTCCCTTCTCAATTCCAAGTCTGAAACGTGGCAAAGGATGCTGCTCTGGCAGGAGGAATGCACAGACGAGCCACAGTCCACATGGGTCTACAGAGCATTCTTCTTTTAAGCTTTAATACAAGGCAGCACAGTCTGTACCTTCTCATAATGAGGTATTTAAAACATTTTACAAAGAAATGGTATTCAAAGGCCTTTAAAAATAAAGTATTTCCCTTTTCTGAATCAAACGTTAACACTAAAACCCCTGCTGCCAAGTGCTGCTCCCTGTTAAGCCCACAGCTATAAAGCAGATGGCTACAAAACTTACTTGAATGGCTTGAATCCCCTGAAGCGGGGACAGATGTTTCCCTGAACTGGCCTTGCCTTGGTGCCATTAGGGAGACACTGCAGCAACCATCCCTTCCAAACCCCCTGAAATGCTAATAAAAGTTGTTACAAAACCTCTCTAATAGGACCAGGCTCTGTAAGTAAGTAGTCTTGCTGCACAAGCTGAGTGTGTGACTGAGGCTGGGCCAGGCGCCACACCAGAACTTCAGTATCTTACAAAACAGCTGCCCTGTTCTGCCCTCAGAGCCAGAACTGCTGCACTGTCAGCAGGGTGACCTCCACAGCTTGGCCACTCTGTCCAGCACTGACTCTGTAGGAAGCCAAGGAGTTCAAAAGAGGATGTTATCTATCCTCAGTGTTTAACCTGCTGTAAGTAACTGAAGGGCAGTTTCATTTTTTTCACTCCAAACTGTCTACCAGTCACCCCTGCTTTCCTGATCAGTGTAAGTGAGCAGGAGGTACAGACAGACCTCCTGGACACCTAAAACTGTGGCTATGCATGTAGCACCACAGGGGAATGGAGAAGTGGCCTCAGCCCTGGAAGACCTGGATTTTTCAAGAGCTTGAGGAGAGCACTAGGACTAAACATTCTGCTTCTGGCCAAAGACATCCCTCAAATAAGCTCTTCCTTGGAAAAAAACCTGATCCAGTAGCTGGATTCTGGACAGCGATTCCAGCTCTCAGCCACTAAAGCAAAAAGGCAGTAACTCTAATCAGAGTGTAATTATCTAGCTAAATCTGACATGAAGCTCCCCTCAGTCCCTGCAGTACTGTTCTCTCCTGAGGCTCCAGGCTGTAACTTAAGTAACAGTGCACACCATTAAATAGGAAAAGAACATAGAAAGAGGAAGCCACGACCACACTCTAGGCTACAGGATCTGTGGCCAGTTGTAAGCCTGGCCCATCATCCCCCCCAGCTCCTTGGCACACCATGGAGATAGGTGGGAAGAAGCAGCAGGTCCACCACACCAGTCCCCAGCTGGTCACGCGCTGAACGGTGCCCCTCAAACAGATGATGAATAGCCCACTGCTCTGCTCCTCTGCTTCACCTTCCTCTGGCGTTCATCAAAAAGAAAACAAAATAGAAATGAACACACGCAACCCCTGCACTCACAGTGGGAAGCTGGAGGCTTTGCTCAGCCTGTAGCACTCCTGCCTGAGCTGCTCAGGCCCCAGGAGTCCCGGCCTGCCCCATGAGGGGGCCGCCGCCGTCCCGCGTGTCCTCCACGGGCGTCGGGTCCGTGTGCACCACGATGGTGTTCTCATCCACCAGCTCACACGTGGGGTTGGTGAAGGCTGACAGGGGCAGCGTGATGCGCTGCATCTCACGCTCATAAACCTTCTGTTCGTGCTTCTCCTTCAGGTCTTTCCCCCTGCATTGCAAAAAAAACCAAAACATACACACGGGGTGAGTGCTGCTGCTTGGAGGGAGAGTCTCAGTAAAGCTGAAGGACTAGAGAAGGAACTCTGCTCTTTAAGATTTAAGTGGTTTCAGCTGCATACAAAGGGCCACAAATACTCCGTACTGTAAGCAGAGGACCACAGTTGAGCCTTTTTGAAAAGCAAGCAAGCCAAGTGAAGTCTGTCCCTGCCTCAAACTGGCTTATTTACTGACATTGCTGCTGATAAATGACTGTACAGCCAGGCCCCTCCTTCAAACCACAGAGCTGCCATATGTTTCCTTATCCTTTACAGTCCCACAGCACTGCCTGGTGCAGGCCCAGGGGAGAAGTGAGACAGTGCAGAGGCCATTGCTGTGGAAAAGAGCTTCTGTAACCTGCTTCATCTGAAACAAATATTGGAGGTGGTGACAGCTTCTGCCTTTTGTTGCAGCAAATTAAGCTGTCCAGAAAGTATTAAAGCTGACTTCAGAGCTGGCCCTGCCTTCTATCACTGCAGCTATAACAGCTTAATGCCACAACCAGCTCCTCAAACCTACCTCAGTCTCCAGCCTGTTGCTAAGTGAAGGAACACCTCTGTAATTTGTGCTGCGGAAGAACTGCCTGACTTTAAAAATGGATTTGGCATTAATAGCATGTTGTCTCCAGAAGAGCTATGTATACCAAAAACTACTAAACCCATTAAAGGTTTCTCACCACACCTACTACCCAAACCTGCCAGCTTGCACATGCAATTTTGAGATCAAGGCAGGGAAGGAGACAGTAAACCTGCAGTACATCCCTGCTGTGAGCTCTGTGTGACTGGAGAAGCAAAGCTGCCTTTGGACAAAGCCCAACACTGGTCTATTGCTTCCTCCCACCGAGGACAGGAGAGAGGTGGGACAGGCACCACTTGCTCCTCCTAAGGCTCATGATCTCAAGCAGGCAGAGCTGCTGGGGTTTCCTGTCAGCATTTCGGCTGCTTTTCAAAGCTGCCTACAAGCGTGCAGCAGTGGCTGCCATTTCTGCCAGCACACAAGACAGCATTCTCTCAAGTGACACCTCAAATCAGATTCCTCGACAAGCAGCGCTCTGTGTTTTGCCCCTTATGTAACACTCCTCCCTCTGCTTTTTTTCTGTCAGCATTTATTATAAACACTTACATAAGGACATGTCCCAGCTTGGGAAAGGGCTCCTTCTGCTTGGTTGTGTCAGACTGTTGTCAAACAGCCAAAACATAGAACAAACCCTCCCAGAGGAGGGAGCCTGGGCCTTTGCTTCTGCAGTGACAATCACTGCTATTTGTTAATCCTGCCCTCTCTCTTACAACTACTGCCACTACCCTCACACACTGCTGAGCTACAGAAACATTACTGTCCAACACAGTGAAGTGACTGAAAAAAAAGTAACTGAAGTCAAAATCAAAACTGACCTTAAAGAATACAGGAGCTTTGTTAAAATTAACTTGGACCAAAAAAAAAGCGCTACCTGATAGTCAGCTTCATAGGATACAATGCATGAGTAGCAAAAAAAATTTACCAATTGTTTTTCTTTTAAAGATAGACTAGAGAAATCAGGGGAACAGGTGGCCTGCTAAAATAATTGTGTTTTTTCTGAGCAATAGAAACTTCCTGTAAGGGCAGCGGAGATCTGCTCTTTCTAGTTCTGAGAAAATCCTGCTCCCGAGCATGTCTGAAAAAGCCACATCAAGGTGCACATGCACACAAAACCCCAAATATTGAAGAGGGCAATTTAAAACTTTAAGTAAGATAGAACATCACAGTAATGGGGGAATAGAGAAGAACAGAGTTAACTCTTCAGTAGTTCTTTCCTCAGTGTGACAAACAAACTTGCTCAATGTGCCATAACAAAACATACGCTTCTGTCCCATTTCCTTGGGATGTGGTTGGGTCTGCAGATGCTCAGACACTCCTGCTATATATACACCAGTTTTTGAACAAAGAACAGCCACTCACCTCTTATAGATGTATCCCAGGACAATGCCAGCCCCGATGGCAATGATTATCACCATCATGATCAGCCCCAGCACATAACCTGTGAAAAGAGAGAAAAAAGAGCCAAAATGAAGAGGCGGCAGATCCAGCTGTAATGTTGCTTTCAGAGCCTCAAAACAGGTCTGTCCTGCCAGAATTACAGGAATGGATCAATCACACAATCCTGGGTTTGTACCTAGAGTCCCTAAGTCCTTCTTTTCCCTGGAGTTCATCTGTACTCTCTGACTGATCCCAATGACGGGCTGCACCGCGGCTGCCTCGCTCCGGGAGGGCAAGGTGTCAGCTGGTTCAAACACCTGCTCATCCTCCTGGGAAGTACCAGCTTCTGCTGTAGGGACTGGGGCTGTGCTAGCTGTAGCATCTGTTGAGAGGAGAAGAAAAAAAAAATATAGAAAAATATATATACAACATACCAAGCACTTATAAGTACTTCAAAACAACATGTGCCTTGAGAGTGGGACAGCTCTAGACTGGTATCACTGAACTGTCTTCAAAGCATACTGAAAAACTCTTGTTCCCCTTAAGCTGTTGCCAGAAATCCTACCAGAGTAGACAAGAAATGTATTCCTCTCCCCACTTTCCTTTGACATGAACCTATTTAACTGAGAGTCCAAGGCACCACCACAGATTAAAGAAGTCAGACAGCAGATTGAAACCCAGGTGCAGGGCGTGAGTCCAGAGGATGCAGAATGACTTCATTTAGTGTATAGATCGATGTACAGGCTGCAGCTTCAATCATGCTGAACAAGATTATGAGAATCTCCATCCCAAATCTCCCAGGAGCCTATTTATCCCTCTTCTGCCTCAATCTTCCTGACACAGGAAAGTCTGACAGGAGACTCCAGCTGGTGTGAAAACAACCTGGGGATATTCTTCCCTGGTCCCTCAGTGTACTGATAGTCTGGGACACCACTGCACAGGCTAAGTCAGAGCAGCCCTCAGGCAGCACAGCCACTGACTGAGGACAATTCCTGCCTCAGTCAAGGCCCAGAAATGGCACCCAAGGATACATGTTCCTTCCCAGCCCTGTTTATATCAATGCTCTTTTTCATCAGCAGCACTGAAAGATTTTCAAGGTAGCTCCTTCTTTCATGACATGGTTTAATGGAAGCTGTAGCACTGTAAAAGCTGTGACAGTGTAAAATAGGTATCTATTACCTTCTCTACACAAACCCCCCTCCTTTTTGGAAGTGCTATTCACAGTGTGCATCTACACCTGAAAACTCACTCCACTGCGTCTTCCCCCCCAGCAGGCAATAACTCCAGGTGGATTTTCTATCTGCAGCCATTTTGAGTCCTCAGTGGAATGTGAAATGGAAGTACAGAAGGGAGTCAGAGACAGGAAATCAGGAGTCCTGCACAGTAACTTCAAGTAGGGTCAGCCAGGGCAACTGAACTAAAGTGAACTGTTGGACCATGAAAAGGTGCCTGCCCTGAGATGCAAAAATATTAAACCTATTAAAAATGCAAATGGCTGAAAGGTCAGGTAACTCTTCTGATCCTAAAGCTGCAAGAGTGTTTTGAGTAAGGATCTTGGCAGCACAACATTTTTTTGCTTCATCTTTAGGGAAAAGCAGGCAAAAAAAGAGCAAAGTGAAAAAAAGGGGAGGGTGTATGTGCGTGGGAAAAGTATTTACATGCAAGGATAGCAGTCTCAAGGGACAGTGGTGCAAGTAAATTTTGCAGGGCTCAGAAAGTAGTAAACAGTTCAAAAAACCC